TGATAAGGTCTAAATTCTGACATCAGACATCAGACTCCTCTCAGAGACTGCATCCCAATAAATGAGATACAGTGCACTGTTAGATTCAATCTGAAACTAAAGTTTAGTACAATAACCTCTGAATTACATATATGTTGGCAAAGATGGCCTGTTCAGTTGAATAAAAGGCCTATAACTTAAAAGCAAAGGGGTTTTGAAATAAGAAAATGCATGTCACCCATAGGAAGTATATTTACCTAACTGAAGTGTAAAATTCAGCTTATTGTATTGGTTATAATTTGTGACCCAATTCAATTCACTGTGTATTATTAGTCTGATGCTGGTCTGTAAATCATGTCAGAGTTCAAAGACATATCATTGGTAGAGCTAGGGCACAACCTCCAATTGGTGGCAGATTATCAAAATTTAGGGCATAGAGTACTGAAATTGGCTTTTGAAGGGATCATTACATGTTCCCTGGTGTAGAAAACTGGTAAGATCATATAGAATGACCAAATGTGATGGTAAATAACAGGAAGTGTTCAACCACAGCACACACTTCCAGACCTGGGCCACCATGTCAAAGCTGCAGTGGCTGCTGCTGCTGCTGCTGACAGGAGTCGCTGCCAGCGAGGACCCATTCTCCATGTTTGAGCCGGACCAGCCCACTCCCGACTCCAGACAGGACGCCTGCTGCACTGCAGCCGTCCGGTGTCGCAGCCTGCTCGCCTCCTACAGCACGCAGCGGGCGCGCTGGATGACGACGGCGGCGGCGGCGGCGGCGCGACGACGACAGTGCCCGGCGCGGCCAGCTCCGGCCGACCGGCGCGTAGCCGACTCAGCCTTCATGCGGCGGCACGTGGCGCGCACGCTGCGCCTGCTGAAGCTCGACGGCGACCAGCCGCCGGCCGGGAGCGAGACGTTCCTGCTGCGGGTGCACATCGCCGAGATGCAGGTGCGTCCGCCGACCGCGCCGGTCACCCGTCGGCACGTGCACCGTGCGCCAGTTGGCGGGGTGTTCCGGGCTGGTACGTGTGAGGCGAATCACACTGCGGATTGGTAACGTCATTCCCGTCACGGGTGTCTGTACCACGGCACATCTCACGGGTGCCGGTACCACGGCACGGCACCTCCCACGGGTGTCGGTACCACGGCACGGCACATCTCACGGGTGCCGGTACCACAGCACAGCACCTCCCACGGGTGCTGGTACCAAAACAGAGCACCTCCCACGGGTGTCGGTACCATGGCACAGGACATCTCACGGGTGCCGGTACTACGGCACAGCACCTCTCGCGGGTGACGGTACCACAGCACAGCACCTCCCACGAGTGCCGGTACCACAGCACAGCGCATTTCACGGGTGCTGGTACCACAGCACAGCACCTTTTACGGGCGTCGGTACCATGGCACAGCACCTCTCACGGGTGTCGGTACCACGGCACAGCATGTCTCACGGGTGTCGGTACCACGGCACAATACCTCTCAGGGGTGTCGGTACCACAGCATAGCGCATCTCACGGGCGCCGGCAGCACAACGCAGCACCTCCCACGGGTGTCGGTACCACGGCACAATACCTCTCACGGGTGTCGGTGTCACAGCACAGCGCCTCTCACGGGTGCTGATACCACAACACAGCACCTCTCTTCTGAAAAGGAGAACCCATGGGTTTCCACTGATGTACGAGGCAATGATGCGTGCAATGAGCAGCCGCAATGAGGATTTGCTAATTGCACAACTCGGCTACAGAAACAAGTCTGAGGCTGCACCGCACAGGGTTCTCGGAGTTCGCACTCTCCTCTCGGGGCCCTGAGAGTCCAGCAAGGCTCAGAGTCCAACAGGGCCCTGAGAGTCCAACTATGAGTACGTAGCTTCGTTTGAGAACCTCGTCGTGAACGCAACACAACGTGATGTCTTGTGAAGTGCCTCATGAGTACTGCGGAATACCTGTGGATTTTTTCCGGAGGTCGTAAGCTCAGCGCTGTTCTTGCGCCGGAGCGTGTCGCGTGAGTGTGCCTGCCCGTATTCATCAGCCCGCAGTGCCCCGCATATCTGCTAACCCGTCCCCTTGGTGGGCGTGTGTGCCAGGTGCTACGCCTGCGCCGGTTTCTGTCCGGCGACGATGTGGCGCTGGTGGAGGTGGATGCCATCCTGGAAGAGGCGCTGTCGGCCGGTCAGCTGGAGTCGCTGTCGGTGGGGGGGCCGCCGCGCTGGGCGCGCCCGCTGCTCACCGTCGAGTTCTGGCTGCTGCTGCTGGGCGCCACGCCCGTTGCCTGGCTGGCCTACGCCCTGATCACCGACCGCTCGTGGCCGCACATCCTCAGCCGCCTCGCATTCTTCGTGTTCGTCGGCAGCTGCGTGTGGGACTGGCAGCGCCTGTACCAGGCGGCGCTGGCCGAGCGGCACGCGGCAGCAATGGGCCGCGTGCCGGCCGAGTGTCTGGGCGACGAGCGCGGCTGGACGGACGGCCTGGCCAGCTACGTCAGAGGCTTGCTCAGTTTCTCCTCGGCGGACGCCGTGTGCCGTCAGTACCACGCGGCGCTCACCGTCAGCCCGTTCCTGGATGTCACCCCGCTGATGGCCGTGGCCGAGACGCTGACCCGCTTCCTGCTGCATCCGGCCGACCAGGTGGGCCGCGGCTTCGGCCGCTTCTACGCCGCGCTGGCGGCGGAGGTGCCGGCGCTGTGGTTGCTGCCGCTGATGGCGCTCAGCACCGCCACGCTGCTGGCGCTGGTCGTGATCGCCTGTCGCTGCCGGCCGCCACAGCGTCGCGCCGCCGGCCCCCCGCAGCACGTGCTCGTGGCGCCTGGCGCCGAGGAAGTGCACCTGCTGGTGTCCGGTGAGGGCCACGTGTGCATGCTGGGCGAAGCATCGCGGCGGCGCACCACAGTCGCCGCATCCGACGCCGACGCCGTCGCCGGCGGCCCCGGCTGGTTGCGCCGGCTCGGCGGCGGTCTGATGCGCTCCGCCGCGGGCGTCGCCGCCGCTTCCGCCGCCACCGCCAGCACCGCCGCCACAGCCGCCGCCCGCTCGCTGCGGCGGCGCGGCGCGGCGCCGCCGGCCGTGCGCGCTGCGGGCGAGATCGAGCCGGCGGCGGCGATCTCCGCCGACCCGGTCCGGCGCCATCTGCCGGTCGGTGACGGCGCAGGAAACGTCCGGGGCGAGGCCCCAGCCGCCGCCGCGGGCGACCCGCCGCCATCTTCGGGCGCCACGAACCCGGCCGGCGGTGGCGAGGCCGGTCCGAAGGACGACGACAGCGGACCGAGCGGCGCGGCCGGCGCCGGAGACGGCGGCCAGCCGTCGCCCACGCCGCCTCGCGAGCCGGTCCCGCGCGGCGGCGACGCCCCGTCGGCGGCGAAGAGCTCGCCGGCTGGTGATGCGCTGCGTGGCGACGGAGATGCCCACGTGGAGGCGCCGGCCTCGCCCTTTCTGGACAGGATCAAGGAGGTGATGGACACGTCGGCGTAGGGGTGGTGCGGCGCCGCCCTGAGCGGTTGGACACTCACGCTTGTGGCCTGGTATGAGATGTGTGTTAGGCTGTGGTTGTTGGAAGAAAGCACGTGATATTTGCTTGTTCGTGTTTTTTTTTTGTGCTGGAATGCAGTCTTATTTGATCGTCGCTGTTTAGCTGCATTTGGCATAGCCACGTATGCGCATATATCTGCATATCATTCATTTTGTACGTTCGCGTTGTGCAGGGACTTCGTTTGACATTGAGATGCATCATTTACATATGGAGTGTGGCTCATACCATTCCGAGTCATTGAAAGTGATAGCCGGGACGCGATGAGGCGTCCTGTACCGACGTGCTGGCAAGGCGGCTCAGCTCTTTATAAGGATTGTGATTGCGTGTGGCTGCGAACCCGCTCCTGCTGTTCCTGGTCACTCCGGTATCGTCGATGGCACGTCTTAATGCCTCTGGCTGCTACGACAAGCTGTCACTGCTGGTCACAGCTTAGCATGGGTTGGTGTTGATCGTAATGCCGCGGATATGCTATGTCAAGCTCTTACGGCACTTTGTGATTGCTTGGATTTGCCGTGCAATGTATCGTGCACGTGATAGTGCAGACTCGTGACTTGTCTCACGTATGTGACTCGAGGCGGAAGCCAGGTGCCCAGAACGCGCTGTTGTGCCCGTGCTAGCGGAATGAACAGAACTTCTGGTGTTTTAAGGTGAAAGTTCTGAGGACTGCCAGTCTGATAGCGTTACTCATGGTTATGAAGACGGACTGGATCAAAGACAGACCCATTTTTAACGAAGTGCAATGACAACGTATCCTGTTGCAATGAATCGGGTAAAACTTCGTTTGCCCCCCCCCCCCCCCCCCCGGTGGGGGCAAATCTAATGTGCGCATCGGACCACACAAAAAGCGGATACTCGTGGCGGGGAGAAATTCGCCGGTCTAACGCCGAAGTTCCCCATGTCTCCAGTCCAGTTATCTAGTTGACGTTCTCCGTGTCTCAAGCAAACGGGTTGAGGCGTGCAATGAATGAAAGGGGGAAATAGGGTCACTCATTGGAAGATTCCGGAACATCACATCGGTGCCGGGAGGTGACTGTACCGGCTTGGTGGCATTTCAGCGGGTACCACCGAACCAAGAGGGTTGGCTAGGTGGTGCCACCTTTTGTGATTTCAACTTTCGCAAATATTAGGACCCGCCCACGTGGAATGAAAACGGAAAGCAACCAAAAAATGTCGCTGCCTTTCTCTGAACTAATCGCAGCTCCCGGGTCGCTCTACGCTTGGTGCTAGTGCCTACTCTTCCCGTCACGGTCATCGACTCCTGTATCACACCTCGCCTGGGCAGGCTCGCATGCAAAAACGCCACAAGGATGGCGTAGCTCATACCAGTAGTATACTGATGTGAGCTACGTCATCCACATGTCCATGGACCCACCCTTTTCCCGTGGACCCGTGGACTCCAGAAAACAAAAACATCGAATAAAACATGTAAATAAATGTCAATCGTCATGTATTACACATTCAGGGCTCATCGGGGATTATTAGCGCACCGGGGGGGCAAGAAAGACGCGTAAAATACCGCCCACGGCACCCACAGGCGTAAACAGACATCCCCGCCCGCCTAACAAATGACCCGGGGTTATGGCCCACCTTGCTACAGCCAGTGTGCAGTGTCATCCCTTCCTACTCCACACATCCAAGCAGCATTAAAACGCCTCCCCCGACGGGTGTGCGAAGACATCGGACAGACGCGGAAACCAGGTACGGCTGGCTGAGGCGCACGAGCATCCCGCGGCGGCCGAAGCCGTGTTCCAGGCCGGCGCACGCTGGCGAGGTGGCCGCCGGCCTCCGCGTCAAACATTGCACTACGGATCGACTGCACTACGGCAGCCGGGCTGGACCACACGGGTCGGGTCGGGTAGGACAAGCACCACAACGCATTCAGTCATTCGGTCCGACACGCCAGGACCACAGACGATCCGTCCGGTGCGGCCTGAACACACCGAGACCACGGATGGTCTGTCCGGTGCGGCCTGAACACGCCGAGACAACGGACGATCCGCCCGGTACGGCCTGAACACGCCGAGACCACAGACGATCCGTCCGGCACGGCCTGAACAGTCATGTGCACTCTCACCAGGGGAAGGGATCGATAAATCAAGCGAGCCATGCACATCCAAAGGACGTTCAAATATAATTCATCTCTGCACGTCCTAGGTCGGCAATGGGCATCCACCTGTGGCTAGGAGAGGGGTGGTCCACCAGGTCATCACGCAGCCAGACTCCTGTCCTCGCAACTCCCATACGTGCAGTAAATGGCACCACTAACCACGTGCGAGAGCGGGTCTACTCAACGTCCCTATCACCAGCACAGCGCACTAAAACAAGAGCGACCGGGGCTCCGTGGCCGCCGGCCCAAGCCAGCATCCACACAACCACCAGCCACTACTAGGACGGCGCACCGGCAGCTCTACACGCGCCCGGTCCTCCCCAAAGCCCACAGCGAGAGCCACCACGCACCGCGCCCCCAAACACTGGCCACTGTCATCCGGCGGCACGAGACGCCGGTCAGAGCGAGCGGCCCATCCACAGAACGACCTTCATCACGAAGTAGGCGACACCGGCCGTGTAGAGCATCACCTCGCGTGAGCGCCGGCGCTGGTTCTCCACCTCAATCTGCATTAGACGCCGGTTGACCTTGAGCAGCTGGCGGCGCAGCAGCTCCAGCTCCTCGCCGGCGCTCAGGTAGCCGGCCACCGCCGGCGGCGAGAACTGCTCGCGCAGCACCAGGCTGCGCTCGGAGCGCGGCCGCCGCTCCGGCGAGTCCTCCGGCGGCGAGGCCGGCTCGGCCGGCGGCAGCAGGTGCTCGTCGACGCGCAGCACGCGCGGCGGCGCCTGCACGCGCGCCCCCCAGTCGTCTGCGGCCGCCGGCTGCGCGGCGCGCTCCAGCAGCAGTTCACGCGGCGCGCCGCCGCCGGCGCCGTGCCGCTCGCCGCCCAGCACCACGATACGGTCTGGCACGCTCATCTGTGCGGCGCCGGCGCCGTTCGGCAGGCCGGCATGCTGCTGGAACCGGTCGTCGCCCTCGCCCGTCACCTGGATCCGCTTGGGCACGCGCATCCGGGCATTGATGTCGGCCGTGAACGCCAGGTCGTCGTCAAAGGCGGCCGACAGCCGCGCCGGGCTGGCCGAAGCCGACATGCCCGGACCGTGACGTCACTGAAGTGCCGCGATGACGTCACTGCAGCACAATGATGATCAGTGATGTCCTGGTTTGCCAGGGCAGGATTGGCATGTGAGCATCTGCATAATGTTTGCATTCAAGAAGCAGCACCAAGTATTTGTTATGAATTGCAGAGGCTATGAAAAACAACCCAACATCTTTCAAAATTTCAATCATACAAAATATCACTGCTCTGCAATCATAGTTCTCCAACATTTGAACTTGTCATGTGCATGTAAATCCTGCCTACAACATCCATCATTTTATACATATATACATATCAGTTGTACATATCCATTATACATCATACATCATACATTACATACATATCCAACATTACCAATGATGGGAAAATAATCCTCTGATTATAAATCATGAGCATATTGAACTCTGCTTGCAAACTGCTGTTCGACAACATCTGATTTGTTATTATTAAAAAACATCACAGAAATATGAACACCTGAGCCTAAGGTATGCATGACTGCATCTCTGTAAGAAGTTGAAATGTCAGCTGTAAGTTGTGACATATGCTGACACTCATCACACAGAAATACACACACATGCATGTGCATCCACTTACACACAGACACATGTGCATAGATATCCTAACCTGGGAGCTGTAATCACCTGTGCCAGACTGGTGCTTGATTTCAATCCATAATACCATATGATTCAGAATATCACCATCTATCCTTTTACATATTTGCATGGGTGGAGAGGCTTTCCCATGCTTCAAATGGATTCTCATGACATTGGAAGAAATGTCAGTTTTTATCTTTAGCAGCACTTTCATTCTCATTCAAAGTCTTTTAATGTTGATTCAGATGGCAAAACCACAAAAATAGAGTGAAATCTTATTTCATATAATTTCCCCATCCAATGTGCAGAATGTCTGCATAACCTTGGTGAGCTGGACCTGATGCCTATGTGTGCCAAGCCCAGGCCAGAAACATTGAGCTGAATTTTCATATCTATTTATTCATGAAAAATATTTGAGAACTTCCTTGTCAAAGACTATCTTTGCAACACAACAATTGGTTGAAATATCATCTCCCCATGGACTAAAGCACTGCAGACCTTGTGGCAAATATTCAAAATTTTAGCATTCATATTAACTATGTGCATGCACTGAAACTGTTGCTGCAATGTCCTGGCTATGCCAAGTGCTTGGTGCAACAGGGATGTTTTGCAGCCTGGCTAGCAGGTAGCTGGACTGAAGAACACTCAAAATACTTACAGCACTTAACATGTGTGCATTCTGCATGTAGTTCCATGCATGCATAACTAGAATTTGTCCAGACTCAGCCAAGCATTGCTTCACCCATGCATGTACAGCCATATGTGGCTAGGCATATATCTATCAATCTTAATCATTCACACAATTAACTGCAGTGAGAAAACGTTGCACCCCAAACACACCACTGATCTCACTCTTGACAGGTCAACTAGCAAGACACTGACATTGCCTACAGAAGCTCCTATAACAAAGCAAATCGCATCTAGTGGCTAAAATATCTGATGGCGTCAGAAACGTGTTCCAATCACTATGACCGTTACAGGCACCAACAGCACATAAAATATCCTGAAAAAGCTGACAGCAGAGCGGTTTCAACACTTACCTAAATTGCCGTTGAGCGCCCTCCGCACGGAATCCAACTCACAGAATCCGTTCCGTCTGCCGCGTCACCTTGACGCCTCGGAAGCCACCCACGCGAAATCCAGCCTTCCGTGCCGTGATCGCCTTACACCCACGGCTTCTACCTTCCGCCGCTGGGTGCTTTGCAGTCTCGGACGATGCCTGCCCTTACAATAAACTTGGGTCAGCTGACTACTGTTCTTCATCTTTTTTGTAACCCCCGGAACTAGTTGGGCCGTAACAAATTACTCGTGCACGAAATGCAGCATGCCTTCAAAATGAATGCAAGCCATTTCTTGAAGTTTTTCATGAGGACTTTTCCAACGAAAAAGAGTCAAGAGGTGTCTTTTGAAGCACGTTTGCGGTACCCTGTCTCCACACTTACCACGTTGCCGCATTGTTCCAAGGCCCCGATCGAAACCACGTCGGCCATTAACTTGCAAAATTCGTGCGCTTATTCATCTTGCACGCGAAGTCTTAAATTTTATTGTCTGAATGCACTATTCTTCTCCAACTTTTTTCAACGTCGAGAAGCATATGCTCTGGGCTTAATTTACTGATACCACGGCAGCCCAGAGACCGTAAATTTTCCAAAGGATCCGAACGCGCAACAAACGAAATACAAGGCAAGAACATGCATGTATTTCGTTCAGACAAGGTCACATGAGATAACTCTCGAACCGATGTCCCGTAAACTGTTAGGACACACGAAATGGCTGGTAAGCTAGAACGGTACAAACTTACAGGGCACCATTTCTCAAAATGTATTCAGTTTTCACACATGCTGAGACGCCAACTTGGGGCACAATGGAGCACACTGTCTAAGGAACCGATGAACCTGCCTCCTGCAAGCGGCTCCACAAGGCTCCTACCATACCCAACTTGGTCAACACCACCTAGTATCTTCACATGCACATAGCAACCAGCCTAATGCATGTTCAATACAACAGACGATGGAGTTTGCAAACCCTCTCCACATGCTTTGTGACTGGTAAGGCGACTCATCGTTACGGTGCGGCCCTCCGCAACGGCCCGCTCATGCCGCGACTGCGCTCGTGCCACGCCTGCAGCCGTCCGCTGGCAGTCGGCACCACCAGCGGAGGAGAGCGTTCCGCCGTGCCGCGGGTCAGTCCCGCCGGCGGCTCAGTACGCGGCTGCCTGGTCGTCGCCCCACCACTCCTGGCGCTGCTCGGGCGGCGCGGCACGCCCGTCGGCCGCGTCGGCCGCCTGCTCGCCGCCCGTCTCGGCCGCCGCCTCCACCGCCTCCAGCTGACCCTGCCCGGCGGGGAGGGGGGACGTCAGCCGGCGGCGCGGCACCGACGGCACACGGCTGACAGGGGGCCGACCGGGCGGCTTCACACCGTCGTGCTGCTGTGCTCCTTCAAATAGGTGGCAGGAGGTTAATGTTAACGCGCGCGGCTGGAGCCTCTTGTTGGGCTTTCACGCCATGTTGCGACGCCTCCCCCCCCCCCCCCTTCCCACATCGAGATCAATCGATGAGAATTGAGCACAGGCCGTCGTCAAGCGAGTGTCTCGTGCCTCAGAAGTCTAGAGTAAAACGGCACGCAGTGCACGCTTCGCCATGACGTAATACGGAGCGTACGCTAAAACGGCCATGCGTCTCGCCTCTTGCTCCGCACGTGCGCACGCCGCAGGGATCCCGTGAAGGGAGATTACAGATACTGCGCCGACCGACCCCGGCCATCCAATGAGCACCAGAGGGCGCAAGTTTGCAGATCTCAGTACTATCAGCCCATCAGCCGGACGCCTTCACAGCCACAGAAACCGCCCAGCACACGTCTTTTTAGTCCCCGCTAACGGGGGAGGGGGGGGGGGCATGAAATAGCCCCAACACACCACCTTGGCGCTTTTGAGCACTGCCGATACCTGGCCACTACCCATTAAACTCTAAGGTAAACGAAATAAAGTCAACCATGCCACGATGTAACACAAAAGTCAACAAGGCGGAAAACATACGAAATGTCATAGATTAAACTAAATTCAACAAAACTAGCTACACTCTCACCTACACCAAGCATCGCTGGTCCCGGGGCCACAGCCGGCAGACCCGCCCTGCAGTGGCGGCCCGGCCCTCGTCAGTCAGTCACCGCCGCCACCCCTCTTGCCATGCGGTCGTCAGTCAGTTACCACCGCCACCCCTCTCGCCATGTGGGCTCCCGTCAGTCAGTCACCGCCGCCACCCCTCTCACCATGTGGTCGTCAGTCAGTCACCGCCGCCACCCCTCTCACCAAGTGGTCGTCAGTCAGTCACAGACGCCATCCCTCTCACCATGTGGCCGTCAGTCAGTAACCGCCACCCTTCTCACCATGTGGTCGTCAGTCAGTCACTGCCGTCACCCCTCTCACCATGTGGTCGTCAGTCAGTCACCGCCACCCCTCTCATCATGTGGTCTCCCGTCAGTCAGTCGGCGCCGCCACCCCTCTCACCATGTGGGTTCTCGTGGGTCATTCACCGCCGCCAACCCCTCATGTGGTCGTCAGTCAGTCAACGCCGCCGCCACCCCCCCCCCCCGCGTCATGTGGTAGGCAGTCAGTCTTAAACGCCACCCCCCTCACCATGTGGGCTCTTGTCAGTCAATAACCACCGCCGCCCCTCTCAAGATGTGGGCTCCCGTCAGTCAGTCACCGCCGCCACCCCTCTCGCCATGTGGGTTTTCGTGAGTCATTCACCACCGCCACCCCTCTCACCATGTGGTCGTCAGTCAGTCACCACCGCCACCGCTCTCACCATGTGGTCGTCAGTCAGTTACCACCGCCACCCCTCTCACCACGTGGTCGTCAGTCAGTCACCGTCGCCCCTCTCACCATGTGGCCGTCAGTCATTCACCGCCGCCACCCCTCTCACCATGTGGTCGTCAGTCAGTCACCACCGTCACCCCCTCTCAGCATGTGGTCGTCAGTCAGTTACCACCGCCACCCCTCTCACCATGTGGTCGTCAGTCAGTCACCGTCACCCCTCTCACCATGTGGTCGTCAGTCGGTCACCGCCGCCACCCCTCTCACCATGTGGTCGTCAGTCAGTCACCACCGCCACCCCTCTCACCATGCGGTCGTCAGTCAGTCACCACCGTCACCCCTCTCACCACGTGGTCGTCAGTCAGTTACCACCGCCACCCCTCTCACCACGTGGTCGTCAGTCAGTCACCGTCGCCGCCCCTCTCACCATGTGGTCGGTCACATGCAGCTGCACGTCCTCGAACACGACGTTGGCGACGCCGTGCTTGCGGCGCATGTGACCGGTTAGCTGGCGGCGCGAGTGGAAGCCGGCGCCGCACTCCTGGCAGTAGAACCTGACGGCGCCGGCCGGCACACGGGCGTCACGCGGACGTCACGCGAGCGTCACACAAGGCGTCGCACGGACGTTACAGGGCGTTACACGGGCGTTACACGGACGTCACAGGACGTCACACAGGCGTCAAACGGGCGTCACACGGACGTCAAACGAGCGTCACACGGACGTCACACGGGGCGTCACTCAGACGTCACACGGGCGGCACGCGGCCGTCACATAGAGGTCACATGGAAGTCACACAGGGCGTCACACAGGCATCATACGGACGTCACACGGGCGTCACGCGGACGTCACGCGATCGTCACAGGACGTCACACGGGGCGTCACACAGAAGTCACACGGGCTTCCCACGGACGTCGCACAGACCGGACTTCACACAGGCATCACACGGACGTCACAGGGCGTCACACGGACGTCGCACGGGCTTCACACGGATGTCACACAGGCCGGACGTCACGCAGGGCCACATCGGTGTCACACGCTGTGAGTCGAGCCCGGGACTGGCGGCGTGGGTGGAGCCGGGAACGCGGCGTCGCACCCGGCGGAGGTCAGTTCAGATGGACGCATGCTGACAGACTCCGCAGGGACGGGAAGGACCAAGGGTGCAGGACACTCGCCAACATGGGCGCAAGGGTCCATCGTGCCACCTTACACCGAATCAGTGGAATCTGTTGCAGGTGATACCAGCGGAAGCTGGGACCATCGCGGTCAGAGAAGCTATCCCGTCTGTTGCATACTGATTATACAGATACGACGACGAAGAGGCCATATCACTAAAACGAACATACACATGAGAGCAGCAAGCAGACCGCCGACATTAGCCGCCCTCCCATCAGATGTCGGCGCCACTCTCAGCGCGGCCATATCTGAACTGTCCTCAGACGACTTCACCACCACGGGCACGCAGACATCCACCTGGCCGTGCTGCCTGGAGGGGCTCTTGGATGCATCACACAGCACATGGACTGGACGGCAGCACACCACCGCGTTCCAGAGGGCAGAGCCTGAGCTCGGTCTGACCCGAGCCCTGACTTGAGCCAGACCTGCCCCAAGCCCTGACCTGAGCCCCGACCTCAGCTCGGTCTGACCGGAACCCTGACATGTCCCGGGCCCTGACCCAAGCTCGGTCTGACCCGAGCCCCCCCCCCCCCCTCTCCCCTCAGTCGAGCCTCGACCTGAGCTTGGTCTGATCTGAGCCGCGATCTGAGCTCGGTCTGATCTGAGCCGCGACCTGACCCGCGCCACTACCCGGGGCCTGACCGGCCTCATCACGACCCCAGCATGCGCTCAACGATAATTAACCCTCTCTTCACTCCCCACCGGCTTACTCCGAGTCCTGGCCGACCCAGCCCGTCTCCACCTCGGCGGCAGCGACGCGTCACCCACGCCAGACGGCGGCCATCCGCGGCACAGCGCTGACCCATGCGCAGCGCAGACTACCTGAGCACAGCGCTGACCCATGCCGGGCGGCAGTGACCCCTGACCCATGTCTGGCCGCGGCGATATCTGACCGGCGCCCGGCGCCTGACGAGACTCACCTGAGTTCGTTGGCCACGGCGTCGTCGGCCATCTCCTCCAGGATCGTGGACTCTGTGACGTCCTCGAACTCGATCTCTAGTACGCCGTGTTTGTGGCGCATGTGCGCCGTCAGCTGCTGCTTCTGGCGGAAGCCGTCGCCGCACTCCTGGCAGTAGAACCTGCGGCCGGGGGCGGGAGCGGGGGGCGCGGGACAGGGCAGAATTAGAGCCGGGCGGCCGTGACGGCGTCCGACGCGTCAGCTGACCATCCGGCAGCGGACAGCGACCGGCTGACGTCAACTGAGCGTCTGACGTCAGCTGCCCGGCCGACGTCAGCTAACCGGTCGACGTCAGCTGACCAGCCGACTCTAGTCAGCGGACAGCAGCCGGCTAACGTCAGCTGACTGATGTCAGCCGACCGGCCGGCGTCAGCTGACTGACTGGCGTCAGCTGACTGGCCGGCGTCAGCTGACCAGTCAACTCTAGCCGGCGGGCAGCGACCGGCTAACGTCAGCTGACTGACTGACGTCAGCTGACCGGCGGATGTCAGCTGACTTGCTGATCTTACGGCGACGGACACGCCATGGAGGGCAAGGCAATTCAGGTACACGGGAGCACAACGTGGATACCATATGTCAACAAGCTTCGTTAGTTCACGGCATAAATTGTTTAAGTCACAAATAAGTATCCTCTGCTGAACGGGGCTGATACATGAGGATCACAGCCACAATGACTGTTGGGAAACAAAGGACTCCACACTGCCGAAGGAGAGCACAGCATTAGCATAGCACAGCGTTAGCAGAGCACAGCGTTTACCTGTACGAGTTGGTGTGGATCATCTCGTGCCGCTGCATGCTGTAGAGGGAGACAAAGCCCTTGCCGCAGTGGTTGCAGACGTAAGGCCGCTCCTTCATGTGCACGCGCTGCCGGCAACATCAGGGTGAGCACCGCGGCCAGCCTCCAGTGGGAGGCGGTCTTGAGCGCGGCTCCGGGGTGTCGGGTGCACCAGCTGGCGCTGGACGCCCCGTGACAGCCAGCGGCCCGGCCCGGCTTATACTTACGCGGAGTACGCACGTACAGAGAACCCGGTCCCAGATGTAAAGAATAGTGAAGCGGGCAGAGAAGGCACTTCCCGGGGGCACGATGATGGCTTTGCGCATCCCCGTTATTATATCAGTGGCATCTAACCTCCAATAAGCACGTCCGTAGCATCCAACATCTCCCAAATTATATCAGTCGAGTCCCACATTCTCGGAATCCCACACACGGCTGTCCTAAACATCCACATGCAACAACCTTTCACCACGCGGAAAGCAGTCGATCCGAACCCCAGAGTGTCTCAGCCCCCCCCCCCCCCCCCCCACCTTGATGTGTCCAGCGATCACGTCTTCCCGGCTGAAGAGCTTCTTGCAGATGGGGCACGGATGCTGGATGTGGGAGTCCACGTGTCGCTTCAGCCGGTGCGAGACAAACTTCTTGCAGATGTTGCAGACCCCGCCTGCGGACGGGGCGTCAGGCACATCAGCGAGGCGGCCGGGCGGCGACGCGGGGGACCAGGAGGACCGCTTCGCTCCTCTTCCTCGCCGCCCCTTCCCTTCCCCTTGTGGCGGCTCTCCAGCGGCACTCACCTGCCAGCGAGGCGCTCACCATCTTGCCGTCCGGCCCTATCACCGGCTCCCGCTTCCGCTTGTTGGGCGAGTCGTGCGTCCTCATGTGGGTCTTCAGGTGCTTGACGTGTTTACCGCACCGGCCGCACACACCTGGTGGCGACCGCCGCGGCGCGTCAGTGTCCACGATCGCAGCCCGGCCGAGCACGCCTACACTGGCTGCCGCCTCCACACGACGCACAGCACGTCACGGCGCCAGACAGTGTCCGGCTCCCGCACGCGTTACTCTGATCGCTGTGTTGATCTATGTAGTGTGTACTGACGCGGCGTTAGAATAGCCACTCGCTGGATTTCGTGAAGATACGCAATAATAAAAATAAAATAAAAACCATATAAATAATAATGATGGTAATGACGATAATAATAATAGTAATAATAATAATAATAATAATAATAATAATAATAATAATAATAATAATAATAATAATAATAATAACAATAATAATAATAATAATAATCTCGCCGCAGTGGTGTGTGGAGAAAGACGCTGCCACATGTGCCAAAGCGTAGAAAGTTATGGGTCTGGAGCACAGCTGGCTGATGGGCAGAGCTACGCTATCGACAGCTTACTCGCATGACAGTCTTCGTATTGTCGCACTCGTTCATTAGTTGCTTCTACGCTAATAGCACCGTGAGTGTGCGAGCCAAGAAGTGTTTCAAAACTGTTTAAGGTGATTGAATGAACGTTGAAAGACTGCATAACGTTAGTTATACAAAGCAATATGTGACAAACGTTTATCAACACAAACGAGCTATTTTGCGTGACGACAAATACACTAGATGAATTTACGTAACACGTTGGCGTGACTCTTTCTTAACACATTCGGTGCCTAAACGTTTTGGACACTAGGCCGTCCGCAAAAGAGTTAGTACCTGCTTTACACTGAGAGTCAATGGCTCTTGTTAACAGTTCACAGCTCCCAAGTCATAAAAAGTGGGGAAAAAAGATTGATCACCGAAACCGTTGCAAAACAACTCTGGACCAACGAGCCAGTCACGGCCACAGATGCTCAACAGCAACGAGCCAACGAGCCAATGACTGCTGCCGCTGCACAACACCGCGGCGCCGATCGACCAATGAGGGCGCGCGCCGTGGCCGTGGGCCCGCCTACCTGCCGCGTTGACCCGCTTGCACTCCGGGCGGTGCTCCGCATTGGCCTGCTTGCTGTCGAACTCCGTCCTGCAGCGTCGACACCAGCTCTTGCCCTTGTGCGCCGTGTGCAGGTGCTCGATCTGCTCCTTCAGCGTGTGCAGCACCTCACCGCACCTGCCGACACGTCACGTCACATGTCACACGGCACTCTTCAGACATCACGCGCATCGGGCGCAGTTGGCGCGCTCGAGTCAGCGGTGGCCGTTAGGCACACAGGAGAAGCATCAGGTACTTTCCAATCTGAAACGTTCTCGTCAAATGATCCTTATGCATGATGGCTCGGCGCGTTAGGGCACGGAACTGCAGCGTGGTGCATAAAACCTGGTCCAAACAAACAAAAACTATAGACTGGATAGCTCCGTGCTTAAAACACCTTCCGAATGTATCGTTGAGAAACGTACCGACGCAAAGGAGACAGCATAAGTACACCTTAATGACGTCTCAAGATGTGTACGAGACGACTGTTTTGCTTCGCAGCAGTTGTTTCACACGCACACAGTAGCAGCAACAACAGAAACGTTCGTGTACGTGCGACACGTACTTACGTTCTCTCCCCGTAAACACGCCAGGGCCGGCACACCAGCGAGTCGCTGACTCACCTGACGCAGTTGTGCGACCTCCGGATGTGGGTAGCGGCGCTCAAACTCTTGTTGTCGACGTTCAGATGCTGGATCTTGTCCATGTCGGCCTGCACCAAACCGGCGAAATCACACCACCGCAGTCGGACACCCCTGCACAAGCACCCTGTCCGGTTCCGGCCCGCACCACACGGCACCACCGTCGGGCAGGCGCAAGCGGCCGTTCAGCACCAGTTCAGCCCCGGCAGCGGGCAGCCACGACCGCACGGCCCAAACTTAACGGCTCCGGATCACCACTGCCCGGTGGTCCCAGGGATACCCGGGACTGTGCGCGTCCCATCCCAGTGGTGCGAAGTGGCCAGATAAACAAACAAGCCTGGCCAGCTAGCCGGTGCGGCAGCCTGTCCAGCCTCGCAGCCTGGCAAAATCGCACCACGCTTCACACTATCTATCACGGGAACAACATCCATCAACGGGATTGGCGAAGTGTACTTGTCCCCAAAATGGTCAGCTCGGCGGGTGGTCACAACACAGTACAGACCGGGGCCGGCGCAGCCGAGTCCGTCGCCGCGCCGTGGACCGGCGGCGGCGCGGCCGGGGCGGTCGAGCGCCGGCCGGACGTACCAGGTTCGCCCGGCGCAGCTTGAGCGTGCAGCGCGGCGTCTTGACGTGCTTCACCTGCTCGCGCAGCGTGCTGACGCTGCTGAACTCGATCACCTTGGGCTGCGGCGGCGGCGCCGGCGTGCCGGGACTGCGCCGCCGGCTCCTGGGGACGGCCGGGCGCCGGGTCAGGTCACGGGCGCCGGTCAGGCGAGGTCAGCACCCCGCCGCGCGCGCCGCAGTCTGGAGTCACTCGGTGCGAGTCGGTCACAGTGTCCCTTGTAAATTTCAGGTCCAGCCTAAGCACGGTCGGTCAAGCCACACGTCAGAAAAGATTCAAGGTCAGGCCAGGTCGGTACAAATCACAGGTCAGTTCAAGTGAACATGCCCAGCCGGGTCGAGCTGGGTCGGGGTGGACATCAAACCATCAGGCCAGGTGACTGACCCAGACTACCGGAGGTGGGTCCGCAGGTGCCTCCCCAGGTCTCCTCTCCCTCCCAAGGTCCCTTCCCCACCTCACCTGGCCAGGCCCGGCGCCACCTCCGTGTCTGGGTGGCGGGTCCGTAGATGCCTCCCGAGGTCTCCTCTCCCTCCCGAGGTCCCTTCCCCACCTCACCTGGCCAGGCCCGGCGCCACCTCCGTGTCTGGGTGGCGGGTCCGTAGATGCCTCCCGAGGTCTCCTCTCCCTCCCAAGGTCCCTTCCCCACCTCACCTGGCCAGGCCCGGCGCCACCTCCGTGTCTGGGTGGCGGGTCCGTAGATGCCTCCCGAGGTCTCCTCTCCCTCCCGAGGTCCCTCCCCCACCTCAGCTGGCCAGACTCGGCGTCACCTCCGTGTCTGGGTGGTGGGTCCGCAGATGCCTCCCGAGGTCTCCTCTCCCTCCCGAGGTCCCTCCCCCACCTCAGCTGGCCAGACTCGGCGTCACCTCCGTGTCTGGGTGGTGGGTCCGCAGATGCCTCCCGAGGTCTCCTCTCCCTCCCGAGGTCCCTCCCCCACCTCACCTGGCCAGGCCCGGCGCCGCCTCCGTGTCTGGGTGGCGGGTCCGCAGATGCCTCCCGAGGTCTCCTCTCCCTCCCGAGGTCCCTTCCCCACCTCACCTGGCCAGGCCCGGCGCCACCTCCGTGTCTGGGTGGCGGGTCCGTAGATGCCTCCCGAGGTCTCCTCTCCCTCCCGAGGTCCCTCCCCCACCTCACCTGGCCAGGCTCGGCGTCACCTCCGTGTCCCGGTGGTGGGTCCGCATGTGGCGCTGTACATCCGCCGCCCGCTGGCCGCACACCGGGCAGGCGGCGCGGCAGGTGCGACGGTGCTGCCGCAGCGCGGCGCCGTCCGGAAGCTCGGTACGGCAGCGGCGGCACCACGGTAACGTATGCACCGTCTTGATGTGCGTGACCAGGGCGCTGCAGGCGGCGGACAGACGCTGGTGACATCTACCGGGTGTTGGTGGAATCGCCATGCCGGCAGACGACAGGGAAAAGGAGCAGACGCAATGCATCAAGCGGCCTAGACTGGATTCGATTCATACGGTAAAGACAAACAGCTCCCACATAATTCGCCGTACCTGGTCCGTGTCATAATGTCAGGAAATAATACAGACACATACGCATGGACCGAACATACGGCATTAGATACCAAGAAATTCACCCCACAAGGGAACAAATCTTGTGGTTAAGTCAAAGCACAGCTCTTAAAACGATAATCAAATACTCTTACAACTACTAGCCAAACAGGCTTATCCTAATATGCTGCAGGTGCAGTTCAGTTTTCACCTGCCTAACGCCACAAAACGTCGGATTTCCATACCCCGCTTCCCCGTTCCCGCCCCCGCGTCATCCCACAGCGTTTCTCTCGAGGAGTCTCAACAATCGTCGGACCCCATGGTTCGTGCCCCGCTCCCTAGTCCGGTTCGGTCTGATCCCCGTCACCCACCTGCTGCTGCCGAACTGGGTGTCGCAGCGGCGGCAGAGGAAGCTGGCCGGGTGGCGCCGCCGCGTCGCCCCCGGGGGCCGCACCTGCCAACGGACGGCAGACCGCTCACAAGGCGCGGCCGGCGCGCGCTTCGCCCGCCACTCCGGGGTCAGAGGTCGCGCCTGGGTGCCGGCAGCGCTCTCCCGCCGTCCGGACGACCGCCGTGGCGTTGGCGGACATTGGGGCCAGATCACTTGCGGTGTTAGTAGAAAACGTGAGATGATCTGGACCGTCCGATCGCACGCGAGGCTTGGCAGATGACTCGAAACGCATAGGGGCAGTCCGGGCGTAGCGACTTCCCGTAGAACACTGCCACTTACAACACACGCCACGCTAAACAAAGCCAACGTTGAAAACCCTCCGAAAACGCATACAACTCGGCCGCAGCAATGACCATGCGGAGACAACAATTTGGACACTGCGCGCACGAATAAGCCGCGAAACCGCATTTTGGCCAGACTTCCGAGCCTTGCCCCACGTGACGGAAAACAACACTCAATTCCGCGCCGCATCTCCCAACCGTTCTCGACGGCCGATCCTCCGGACCATCCCCAGCTAGTGCCGTCCGATCCCACCGGCCCGTCCCCAGCCAGTGCCGGCCGATCCCACCGGCCCGTCCCCAGCCAGTGCCGGCCGATCCCACCGGCCCGTCCCCAGCCAGTGCCGGCCGATCCCACCGGCCCGTTCCCAGCCAGTGCCGGCCGATCCCACCGGCCCGTTCCCAGCCAGTGCCGGCCGATCCCACCGGCCCGTCCCCAGCCAGCGCCGGCCGATCCCACCGGCCCGTCCCCAGCCAGCGCCGGCCGATCCTCCGGCCTTCCCCGGCCAGCGCCGGTCGATCCTCCAGCCCGTTTACAGCCAGCGCCGGCCGATCCTCCGGCCCGTCCACAGCCAGCGCCGGCCGATCCACCGGCCCGTCCCCAGCCAGTGCCGGCCAATCCTCCGGCCTTTCCCAGCCAGCGCCGGCCGATCCTCCCGCCCGCCCCCAGCCGGCGCCGACTGATCCCCCAGCCTATCCTCAACCAGGGCCGGCTGATCATCCGCCCCGCCCCCAGCCAGCGGCCAGTCGGCGAGACCCGGCGCCCTCCGACGTACCAGTCCGTACTTGGCGAGGCCGGCGCCGCGGCCTCTACGCCGCTGCGGGCCGTCGATCGAGACGAACTCGATGGTGGTGGTGGTGACGCCCTCCGGCATCTGCTCCTCGCTCTGGTCTTCCTCCGGCGCCGACGCCTGCGGCAGGTCGGCCGCGTCAAGGCACGGGCCGCCCAGTCGCCGACGACGCGACGCGCGACATTGCCGGGAACAGCGCAGCGCCTGGCCGGCCGCCGTCGCGGCGCGAAACAGTGTACGGCGTGCGGTGCCAGTTCTGTAACGGAAGCCGCCAGCAGATTCCTCGCACTGCCCCAGACTGGCCCGGTGAAAGAACGCCCGCTTAGGGCCTCCGTGGCCGCCTGTTGGACAGGGCACCACCAGCAGCGTCCCCCCGAGCTCGCCCGCATAGCCCGGCCCATAGCTCCGTGTGTCGTAACGTCTGGACGCTGGGGCGCCACCTGTCGCTTTCTCGCCCCGCAGCGCAGCGGTCACCCCTCCTCTCTTTCCTGTCTGGCTTCAGTGACCTCACCACGTGCCCTCCGGCCCCGGTGCGGTGGCTTCAGTGACACCACCATGTGCACTCCGGCCCCGGTGTCGTGGTTTCAGTGACCCCACCACCACGTGCCCTCCGGTCCCGGTGTGGTGGCTTCCGTGGCCCCACCCCATGCCCTCCGGCCCGGGTGTGGTGGCTTCAGTGACACCACCACGTGCCCTCCGGCCCCGGTGTGGCGGTGACACGTTCGCGCGCTGGCCCGGCCGCTCTCACACATGCTCACCTCGGCGTCCGGAGTTCCGGCCCTGCGCGGAGGGCGCCTCCGACTGCCGCTCGTCTGGCGTCGCCTCCTCCTGCGGTAGGGGGTCCCGTGTCAGCAGCGTCCGGCGTCGGCTCGTTGCCGCCCTAGCGGGGTCTAGATGCCGTCCGACGGCGAGGGGGATCTGACACTCCCAGGACAAACACTGCCCTGAACGCCATGCGGCGCACTGCACCCAAATATGCACAGGCTACCTTAGGTCCCGTGGAAACGAATCCTAAACCCAAAATACACAATTCAACGGGGTATATGTGGACGACCGTTGCGTATGACGACGGCGGGCTCCACGCTCTCTCTCTCTCTCTCTCTCTCTCTCTCTCTCTCTCTCTCTCTCTCTCTCTCTCTCTCTCTCTCTCCTCTCTCTCTCTCTCTCTCTCTCTCTCTCTCTCTCTCTCTCTCTCTCTCTCTCTCTCTCGCTCTCGCTCTCGCTCTCGCTCTCGCTCTCGCTCTCGCTCTCGCTCTCGCTCTCGCTCCCGCTCCCGCTCCCGCTCCCGCTCCCGCTCCCGCTCCCGCTCCGCTCCCGCTCCCGCTCCCGCTTCCTCTCTCCCTCCCTCCCTCCCTCCCTCCCGCGAGGTGTTCGGTGATCCGACAGGCGGGGTGACGCGGCCGCCATCGACGGTCCGCCAGACTGACCTGCGAGCCGGGCCGCTCGGTCCCCGTGGCATAATCCGAGGGAGACCAGGGCCGCCGCGGCCGGCGCTGGCGGCGTGTCGAGCGCTGTCGGCCCCAGGTCGCGCCAGTGCCGCGTCGTTACCATGACACTGGACTCATCGGAACACTCGGATACTCAGACGACAGGCATCCCAGGCTCTCACGCCGGCAGCGTCAATGGGGCCCATGTCAGCGAGAATGCACGGGCAAGCGAAGCCATCAAAATGAGCGTTGTCTCACTTTTAACGTTGATTGGCCACAATCACCCAACACGAGAAGGCGGCACTCACTGAACTACTTAACGTACGCCACTCCGTATACCACAAGTATCCCAGTCCTGCACACAAACCGAAACAAAAAACCGACCAATGTCTAGTTTCGAACCGGCAACCGTTCCGGGTCGAGCTGGCCACTCACCCGACGGGGCGTCCAGTCCTCGTCGGCGGGGTCCGGATCCGGTGGCGGCAGCACCACCAGCTCCACGGACGCCGACTCGTCCGCGCTGTCGAAGTCGTCGTCAGGCCGCGAACGGCAGCTCCTGCGGCACGGCCCGGTCAGCTGATCGCTCCGCCGGCGGACGGCGGTGACGTCATCGACCGAGAAATGCGCTTCCTGCAGATGGCCGACGCACGCTCGCGAAGCTAACAATAAGGTGAGAAGCTTCAAGTGTGACATCCCCGTTACGCGAGGCCCACGCGGCGCCACGGCTACGCGGGGGCCACAACTCAACCAGAAACTACATCAGACACCAGACATCAAAGCCGGGACGGGCTCTGAAAGCCGACTCTCGTCTGTAGGCGACGTTGTCGTCGTCAGCAAGTAGCAGTAGCACGAGACGGAGGTGGGCAGGCCTGGTGCGGGCGGGGCAAATGGGTGGCGCGCGCCGCCGCTCTGCCCGCTGGCTCACCTCCGAGGTGTCGGCGTCGGCCGGCTGCTGCGGCGTCACGCCGCCCGGCCGCGGCTCACTTGCGCCTGAAACACAACGCGCGCCGATCAGTTGGTGGTCACCGACGTGTATGCGGTGCAGCAATACACGGCTGGCGCGGGTCAGGGCAAGCGGGGGAGTGGCTGTAGAAGAATGGGGTGGCAAGCTGACCCATTGGTACATCAGATGCTGCCTCGGTCAAGGTCTCGACAATAATCGACGGTCCATGAGACACTCTCCACATCCTCAGACCAGACCAGACCAGACCAGCAAGACCAGACCAGACCAGGCCGGCAAGACCCGGCCCACTCACGGCTGCGGGCGCTGATGGCCTCCTGCTGGAGCCGCTCCTGCTCCTGCCGGAGCCGCTCCTGCTCCTGACGGCGCGCCAGTTCCTGGCGGCGGAGCCGCGCCTCCTCCTGCTCCTCCGCCAGCCGCTCCTCCTCCAGCTCCAGCTTCTCCTCCAGGTGGAACAGCTGACGCACCTTCAGCTCGACGCCCTGCCGGGCACGCGGCGGCCCCGGTCACAGCGCCGCCCCGCCAGTCAGCTGGTGGGCCGGGTCACACACAGACACTGGCCGTTTGGTCGGTCACCGAACCGCTGTTTGGCACCGCGTGGCGGGGCGGCTGCTGCCGTGGGAGTCGTACACATGCCACTGCGGCTGCAGCATCACATTCAGCAGCCGGAATCCATCAGTGGGTCCCAGCGGACACTTGTAGGCCCTGCGTCGCGTCAGCTCAGGGGTCCGCGGCACAAAGCCAGACACAGAGAGCTGCCACGCAGCCGCTTACACGCCGGTGTAACAACCGCGTGCTCTGACGTAGCCGCGTGTTCCAGCGGTGGGTGGCACGCGCCGTCGGCGGCTTCACCAGCACCATGAACGGGAGCACCCACTGCAGCATTGAGCTGGCTGCTTCACAGTAAAATACCTTGGAACATATGTCATGCAGAAATCAACGTCATGCTAGCTAACGTCCTACACGAGCCACGCTGTTTCACGGCTGCTTTTGACGTCACCACACCACACGACAGGGCACGACGACCGTGGCACCGCGCCGCGGCCGCCGCAGGCGCGCCGCACCTTCAGCTGGGTGTGGTAGAGGTCCGCCTGCTCGAGCAGCTGCCGACAGCTGGCGCAGACGCCGTCGGCGGCGCTGACCCGTAGCCGCAGCGGCAGCAGCGCCGCCAGCCGCTCGGCCAGCGCGCAGCCGCCCGCCTCGCAGCGCGTCAGCAGCAGCCGCGCCGGCTGCTGGCACGGCTCGGCGCAGACGAAACACGCTTCCGGCTCCGCCTGCGGGGCGGCCGCGCGGTGAGGGACAGCATCGCAGTCAGGAATGGTGGGGTGAGGGACAGCACCTCAGTCAAGGGACGGTGGGCTGAGGGACAGCACCTCAGGTCAAGGGACTGGTGGGCTGAGGGACAGCACCTCAGTCAAGGGATGGTGGGGTGAGGGATGGCACCTCAGTCAGGAGATGGCGGGGCGAGGGACTGCACCTCAGTCAGGGGATGGCGAGGTGAAGGATGGCACCTCGGTCACGAGATAGTGGTGGGGTGACTGGCAACACACAAAACACATGCTAGGTCTAGTTAGTACCAAAGAAGACTCACGATGTGCAGACCACAGCTGTGTTTAACGGTAACCCGGACAAGCCCATCCTGCATTTTATGTTGACGACCGCAAACAAGTGGCGTCAACATGCCCTTCACAGCCGCCAGATGTCACTGCGGTGGACCAGTAGCCGAGCGGTCGGGCGGCACCCACCTGGGCCGGCGTCTCGTGCTGCGCCGCTGCGTCCGCCACTGGCCGCTCGTCGTCCGCCTGCGCTCCGCCGTCGGCCAGCTGCAGGTCGGCGGCGGCAGGCTGCTGCTCGGCGCCGCTCGCCGCGCCGTCGCCCATCATCGACTGCACGGCCAGTCCGAGCGGGTGTCCCGCCAGCTGGGAGCCTGGCGGACCGGGGGCGCGCGCGCCTCGTCAGGCACGCACCAGGCCGGACACGGAACGGCGGCGCGCGCACCTCGTCAGGCACGCGGCGGGCCGGGCACGGACCAGCGGCGCGTTCGGTACAGAGCGCACGACGCGCCAGGCTGAAGGATGTGCCATGGCCAGATGTTTTAAACAGAGACAAAACGCAGCTGCCACGTCGACTAGGGCAGCAGCACCGTGCACCGGACATTTCGGAGAAGCCGTAAATCATTTCTGGAGCGGTCACCCACGGTGAGCTATGCAAGCAACGTGTTCACGCACTGGTCATGACGGACGCCCACAATGATGGACCACCACATGGTGGTGAGCAGACCAGGGGGCAGGGTGGCCACTGCAGGGGCCTGGCAGCACTGCATGGCATAGGACCGAGGCTCCCCGCAGGACCTACCCGGCGTGATAATGTGTATCTTGTCGCCCTCGATCTGCATGATGACGCCCTCGGACGTGTCGACGCCCTGCGGCAGCTCGAGCACCACCTGCCGGCCGGCGGCGCCCTCAGCCGCCGTCGCCAGCACCACCTGTCGGCCGGCGGCCTCGGCCGCCGCCTCCAGCACCACCTGCCGGCCGGCGCCCTCGGCCGCCGTCGCCAGCACCACCTGATGACTGGCGTTGGGGTCTTCCGCGCCCGTCGCCAGCACCACCTGGCGCTCCGCGTCGCCGTCCGTCTCCCCGGAGTCGTACATCAGGCTGGGCCTGTCCATGGCCAGGCGTGCCACTGCGTCTGGAGAATGACGGGAGGCATTGGTTGCACGTGAATAGCCAGGGCTATTGCAGCACAAACCACACTGCTCTTTTTAAGCAAAAGTGAGGATTTCAGGCCAGGGAGAGTTTCTGTTTTCAGATTTTGGACTGATGGATAGGTTGTGTTTCACAAAGAGATAATCACAGTCAGCTTCATAAGCCCCAAAACATTATGGTTCCTGAGCTTGAATGCAATAAATCAACAGCTTTGTTAACATCCAAAATGCTCATGATTCAAGAAGCATCAACTGACCAAAAAAGTCACCACTGAAGGTTGACAACCCAGTCCCAAACTGATGCTGCTAAGAGGGTACCAGTTGAATGGCATACACAGTTAGGTGTGACTCAATGTTATTATGATGGCATAATTCCTGAATCTTTTGACAAAAACAACTTGTATGACCCATAAGGCACATGCTGCTTCATGATGTGGTTTTTCTGATAGCCCTTAAAAATAATTTTTTATTAAGTCTGTCTGAGAAACTGTGCATCACACAACTCTTAGAAGCCACTGAACAAAAAATAGTGTATGCACCACCTAGTCAGTATGTTGCAATGAACATACAATTCCACTGATGTCTTGTGGCAAAAGGTAAGTACGGGTGCCACAGCTGCATGTGCACACCTACACCCACCCACAACCACACCCAATACACACACCCACACACACTCACATACACACAATCACTGGGTGACAACATGCTTAATCTTCTTCCTTCAGAAATTATCAATCAGAAAGTCTTCCTTCAGAATCAGTGCTACCCAGTTATTTAGTGTGTTACCGGTTGTGTGCCACCTTCATGTCTGTGTAATGGCCTTCCCCCACCTAACTACTCTCCACACTGGCCCCCTACCTCCCCATGCTGGCAAACATGCCATGTGCTGCCAGCAAACAACATTTTCATGTACAGTTTGTCTTGTGAACAACCCCCACCCAATTCATCTTGACTTGTCATCTTCAAGCAGGTATGGATGTTTATCATGCCCTGCATTCCATGCTGCAGTAATACACCATTGCCCAGTCTTTTAAAGTCAGCAGATAGCCCAATCACAGCTATTGTATACACACTTTGTGCACATATGTCTCCCAATGAAATGTGTAAGTTGTCAGTTAGACAACTCAGGTAATTATGTCAAGTTTTGAAATGTGCCCTTTGAGAACATTGCCAAAATGTATGCAAAATTTTGACTAATAAGAATAGATAATGAGAAAACATATTAGTATTCAGAATGCCATTGAAAAGCCATAACCCATCCCAACTTGACCAGCAATTTCAAAGTGTGGTGCAAACATATCAAATATTTCACCACAGAATGCTCAGGTGCTCAGATGACAGGCATGCAATCAACAATCACATAGTTTTTATGGCTTACTGCATCATGTGCAATACTGAAACAAGTACCTATTCTTGACAACAGTATTCCAAAATAAAAACAGGGCAAATGTGTAAATGATTGTCAGTATGTCCAGCTCCCGTTTCTCAATCCGTGATTACAAGTGGTCTCTGCTCATTGTGTCATGATTTTATGCTACAGGCAAGACCATACATGTCTGCTATTTCTGCTGTAATTATAACTGATGTGTGATGCTGCAGCTTTAAAGCAAGAAGGGGCATCAAAACTGATGTACTACATTTAAAAAATACCTACTCGTATAATTTCACTTTACACAACACAGCTTCTCTGCTTAATAGATGGGCTCCTCAATACATCAGGACTTGATAACTTCATCACAACCAGCAAAACAACAATTGAGAGCCAGCTGACAGCTACTTTTACTGGAGATCATGCTCATGAATGTCATACAAGTTTTTATTGGCCTTTACCACATGACCCACATGATGAAAGAACTTACATGACAACATCTTGTGCAAAATGGACACCTCAGTGGCTTTGAAATAGTCTCCCTGAAGTGGTCTGCACATCTTTGAAAGTGTGTGGCTCACAAACTGAGCAGGTTAAGGACTTACAAAGTGCTTTTCAAGACAGCTTTGCAGTTCAAAACCAGTGCAAACGTCGAATGCACACTTTAATTACAACAAAAGATTACACAGTGCTCAAGCATGCCGTATTAGTGTCTTAACATCCATTTTCAGAATCTCTTTTTGACATGTTCAACTTAGAGGCAAAATAAATACCTGTTTTAATTCAGAGCCGTGTCAACGTCATTATGTAGAGCCTGGCGCCACCAGTGTTCCTATCATTTACCGCAAGGCTTTGCCCAAAGTCTTGATTACCTTATTTAGCCTGATATGTATCTGATGTTGGGATTGGATACACACCACTAAACACTACCCGCAACAATACATATCTCCCATCTCACTCCACCATCCATCAGCATTGGGTCGCTGATCGCTACTGCCACCACAACAGTCACATCTGCGTCGCTCACCAAGGTACAGTATATTTAAAAAATGTACATTTTATTGGGATGATAATGGGGGATATTTGCGTGTTAACTGGGAGCCATTACCTCGTATGTCGATAATTTAAATAAATTCTAAGTTAATAACAGCTTCAGGAAATGCCATGATCTGGTCATCTGCATCATCTCTGCCCGTGTTGATTTTCACCGTCGCTCTTCCCGCGGTTCTCCCGTTCACCGGTGTATATTGATTGAGCATGTTTCTCTCATTCATCATCGTGATTGTTGTGCCGTAATTACCCAGTTGCATTCCTTGATCGCAGCGCGCACTGGCGCACCGCAGGGACCTGTGGTTGCAACAGTTAGGCCCAAGGCCCTATAACGACCTCAGACCTCAGGTCAGACCTCAGGGTGACGGATGCTTAGGAACAAGCTTAGAACTTAAGTTCATCGGAAACTTGCTCTGGTTGGTCGATTGGTGCTTCACCGTGTTCATCAGTTCCATTTCTTGTCTCAACGTTTTGATCAGTTCTGTGTATTGGGGAGATAATTTTATTCTGCCTCATTGCTGGGGACCTGTGTCCAGCTTCTTATCTTGGTATCTTTTAGGCCCTAAGTTACTATGATTTTCAAGGCTACACATCAGAGTCTTGCCAGATGTGCACATACATATATAGAAATTGTGTGTATGTGTATATGTTTGCATTAAATATATGTATTTATATATACATGGATGGATATAACCAGCACTTACATTCTGTTTTACTTACAAACCCTGTCTCACTAAATATATGCACTGTAAATACTGGCAAATTGCAGTGCAGCCCGATGCTACCAGGCATTCCATCTTTCAGAAGCTGCATAACTCAGTAGCAGTCAACTTCAAATTGACTTGAATTCCAAGATTCAACCAGTGAACTGGATCCTTCCAGTATGGATGGCTCACCAAAGTGTGGGAAGGATGTGAGTATTTTACTAATAACCATGGCTGGCTGGGATGTCAACAAAATGAAAATGACTCATGTATGATGAAGCTCACCATCCTTTCTGGATATGGAGGCTATATACTGCATATTTCATATAAAACCAAAAACTAGCTACTTAAAATGACTACAGAACTGCTTAATACTTAATACTTATAAACACTGGCCAGGTATATATATATATATATATATATATATATATATATATATATATATATATATATATGACTACTCTCTCAGAGGTGGTGCCTCATTGATGGCAGGCCTTAGTGTTATGGCAGAGAAGAAAGCAAAAGCGGGGGTTCTTGCAGCGCACACCACTTGTTGGGTAAACCTGATTTTTGGTATCAAAATACCCCTGTGATTGGTTATGACATCACATTTTAGGGACAGGCTTAATCAGTTGAAATGTGGTTTTCAGTCAGGTGCTCATGATAACTTCATGACTTCAATGTATGACAGTTCTATTACAGATGAAAGCCTTGGTATACTAATCTCAAGTAATGGAAGCAATAGATATCCCTGGCTGAAGATGTTGGGTGATAGGCTCCTTCATTCTAATCTGATGTCCGCTCTCACCACAGGTACACCTGGACATGAACCACGGGTTTATTAAGTCCATCATCAAAAACCAGCTTGACAGGGACAGTTATGACAAGGAGCTGAAAGAAAAACAAGCGAAGGTATATGTCAACAAGTAACCATATTGTACAACTGCAGTGTGTGCAACAGTAGAAGTTCACTTGCTCATTTTCCATGTGTTCATTTTTACTCATTCACATATCTGCCACAACTGACAACCTATCACAACTCACTGCTGGCATGTCATGTGCATTGATTGATGCAATTTAGATCAAGACCCTATGCTCACACAGTTATCAGATGTCCAAATGGTATGATGAGTGTTCCTTATGCGTAAATGACATCGGGAATGTGTAGCTATTGCGGACATTAGTACCTTTGCACATAGCAGCAATGAGCCAGGCATAGTGACAAAGACAATGGGAATACCACCACCATCAGCTGACAGTGAGTCAGAGTGCGTGAGGCCGCCGCCGCCGCCGCGAACTCGTCACCAGCACAACACCCCGTGTCGCCAGGCGCGCGCGGCTCCGGCCCCGGCCGACGCAGTGCGACCGGCGCGCGCCGCGCCGCGGCGGCCCGACCGCGCCATCTACACGCCACCGGCGGGCGGCCCCGCGGCGCGCCGGCCCCTCTTCATGCTGGAGTACGCCGATACGAGGACAGGAGCTGTGCGCCGCCAGCCCTTCATGGACGGTGGGCTCCCGGTAGAGTTGCGTAGTGGTGTCGGCTCCTGTAGCTGTCTTGAGCCGAATATCCCCTCCTGCAAAGAGCTTTGTGTTTTGTTGCAGTGCTGCATTGTTACTGTCGCCAATGCTACCTAGAAGCAAGCAGGAAATGACAAGTGTTGGAACTCAAATGTTAGGCTCCCTTCACAGAGGGTCAGCCCCCCGCCGTACCTATGCCTGGAACCGGTGCTGCCTCGCCTCTCGGTGCGAGGCTGACCCGCCCTGGGCCGGGCCTCTCCCGCAGATACTGACCTGAGCGAGTTCTGCGCCGACTTCAGCCAGAAGGCTGGCCTGGACGAGCGGCTGCAGCGGGCACTGTACCATCGGCTGCTGCAGGAGCTGCCCGACGGGAGGCCGCGCGCCGAGCCGGCCGACGAGCGGCGCCCGCCGGCCGAGTGACCTCGGGTGGTAACAGCGCTCTGGAGTCCCCCGTGCTCAACAGCATCAAGTCAAGTCGAAGATATGTGAACCAGTGATGGGCATTGCTCCTAGGCACCCTAGTAGCCCAGCGTGGCCGAGTGCAGCCGCAATTTCACAAACTTAGTCTAGATCAGTGTAACTCAGTGATGGTGTGATATGAGCAAATGTAGCCTGTGCAACTTGTACACTTGTGTGCTCTTGGCAGATGTTGGTGTGGATCAGAGTAGCCTGGTAATGCTATGATCTCAGCTGATGTAATCACTGCACATTGGTGGAACCCAGTGAGGCTGTGATCTTAGGAAAGGTAGTCAGTACAAATTGGTGCAACCCAGTGAGGCTGTGATTCCAGCAAATGTTCCAGTTAGTGAGCAGTAACCATGTTTGTGTCAGGTAATCCTCATGTGAAGGAAAGAATACACCATTTTTCTAGGCCAGTTGCAGTTATCGAAGGCTGTGCCAGTCAATGCAAGAAAGCTTACAATACTTAAGAAGATACCTGCCAAAGATAGGAGAGAATAATGGTTGGTAGTCTGTATTGGTGCCTCAGTTGCTTAGAATGCCTGCATTCTGAGCCATCCACCCATGGCATGGTGGGTTTGAGTCTCTTTAAGGCGCTCGCTATTCGCCCTTGGCAGGTACAGCCTCCAACTGGTGGCAGTGGTCGCACTAAAGGTCAGTTGGTTGGAGGGCAGGACGGACTGTGCGAGCATTGCGGCACATAAAGCTTTTCCAACTAAGTTCTGGGGTTGCCTGGAGTTGCATGATTGGATGGCGGGGGTCTGGACTATACTACAAGCACTGCTTAGTGTGAGCACTGGTCCCAGAAATCCATCCATTCAAATGGTTTGGATCATATTTGTGAAAAGGAAGTTGCACAGTATTTTACTCTCCTGCTGTGCAATAATATTGTGCATATGTGGATGACATGCACAATCATGTAAATAGCATTGCAAGATCATAGTGGTGCATCCCTGTAACACAGTGCTGTTTCTGCCCATACTGCCTCACTCTGTCACCGCAATGAATGTTGTGGATGGGAGAAAAGGAGTAATGTTACTCACAAATGCATCAGTGTTGATGTTCAATGGATGTTAGGCCAGACATGTATTCAAAACAACATTTATAGTACCAGCAAGTGATTGCAAAGGGTCACAGTTTCCTCAGGGGTGGGGTGAGTACATTAACTCCTATCAAAATGGGGCCAAACTGTAGTGTTTCAGTCACACTCTTCATCATCATACTGCAGATGTGATAGGCTTATTTCACATCCCTTCTTGGATTTAGGTTGATCCCTTTTAGGGGATCCCTGACTTGAACTAGACTGAGAAGCATCAGATGTTTTTTCTTTATCCCCCTTTGCCTGGGCAGTGAGTTTGCGTATGGGTTTCCTGAACAACACTTTGGCATCTTCAGGCTCAACAGTCCCATCCTTATCCACTTTTTGCTTTTGATCACATTCCTTCAGAAATGCCATGGCTGCAGCTGTATTTGATTTCTGAGACATTTGTGCCTCAGGAACATCTGCCAAGGAGTACTTTGTGTATTTTGATGGGTTTGTAAGGTGATTAGGAAGAGTGATCTTGCGTTTTCTTCTGCAACTTGGCACATCTGGAGGTGGCATAATTCCTCTCCTTCTTGTTCTAGGCACAGAGGCACCAGGGAAGTTACTCCTGGCATGCTGTTCCTGTCCTGCAAGCCTTGATGCTCCCTTATCACTGCCACTTAACACTGAGTCTGCCTTCAAAAAGCTGTCTTCTTCCTTGGTAGGGGAGTAATGCACATCATCCAGTGCATTAAATAAATTTGCTGCCTTTTCCTTGAAGTCATTTGCTTCATCAGTCAAACAAAACCTGTCCCCAGAATTGTTCATAGCTGTTGCAGGGAGGCTACCAGTGCAGATGACTTATGCCCGCTTGATAAATCAGATTTGAGCTGGCACCTGGAGCCATGAAACACTGAAAGGGAACGCTCGACGGCACCAATCCCGAAGGGGTACTGAAGCTCAATCAGTACTCGAGCAGGGTGATCGCCCACAATCGACTGCAACCAGGCCAAACCCCCAGTCGAGCCGTCCCACAGCATTAATCGCAATGGCGTAGGCACGTACATGTAGCCGCGTTGCATGACCACAATCGAGGTAAATATCGAAACGTCTGCGTCACACAAGCTACAAGAACGGGCTCCCAATTTTCTTTTGTAGGAGCTGGGAATTCTAGTACGTAATGGGTACTAGATTACGTTTTACGTCATTTCTGGACCTGTGCAGGAGAGACGGCGTGTTATGCCGAGGAATATCAATTATATTTTGACAGAAACCATCATGCCCCTCAAATGTGATCAGTACACCAGTTATAAACAAAGTTTGTGTGCGAAAGAGCAAGGAATAAAAGCTATTTTTATGGAAAATGCGGCCAGATTATGCCAGGTGCTGGGGGAATCGTCCGAGGGACGGTCGCCGGATCAACTTTTGCGTTACTGGGCCGAAGGAGGTTAAGTGTTCCTGTTGCCTTGGGCCATTTTTTTAGAATCCGTCAATGTCTTGTGCAAAGCCCTTGAATGCCTCAACAGTATTTGTGCGGGGCTGGCGTGTTGCAGCATATTGTGTGTGAGGTGGAAAGGATGTGCTGTTAAGATACCTCAGGTAACTAGTACATGTGTGCATGTACTGTACATCAAGTATAACAAAAAAATTGTGAGGGAACTGCGTGAGATCAATGTTGACAGGACCTGACCTATTTGCTGATTTTACATTGGCAGATGTAGTTTGCTGGATACTTAGCATGGTGTTGGGAATTAACTGTTTTTTTTATTTTCTCATAGCTGTTTGCAGGATGACAGGATTGTTGTTGTCATGTCACATGGTTGGATGAGAATGAAAACTGCAGGCCATGGAACCAGTGCAGCCTGCTATTAGCCATCTAGGTCAGAGTATGGTGCACATATTGTTTGTTTTGTCCTGAGTATCCAAGTGTTTTAGAAGATGAGATTTAAGACTGTAGTCCTCTTTTTTGCAATTATTCTTTTGACATCACAGAATGCCCTGTCTTGGTTATTTGGGGTATACTGCTGCCTGTTAGCTATTAAGCCATCTGGAATTTCAGGTGGAAAGGGGGCAGACAAATTGTTTGCCCCCCATTTGAAACCAAACTGGGTTGGTGTCACCCCAATTTGTATTAATAACTGGATACAAGTTTAAAAGCTTGTTGGGTGTGAGGTACTGGTCCAACACAATGACACAACATGACAAGTTGTTGATGTTAAGTGTTCATGCTGTTAATACCTTACCTTACCTTATGGTGATCAGGAATTATAAAATGCCACTAGGCCTATAGATCTCAGTCTTGTCAGGCTCTAAGTATGGTAACCAAACAGTCTTGAATTATGGGTAGATTCAGTGTGAGATGACATGTCTGCCCAGTGCATATCAAGCCTAGGCTTGAACTGTTCAACTGAGGTTGATGACACAACTTGGGCATGGGAGAACATTCCAATCATTGACAATGGGCTTGCTGAACCAGTTGTGCTGAACGAGTTACGAGGGATGAGAGTCCTAGCTCCAGGTTTTCTGAGCTTCCATTGGTGTCCTCTTGCCACCTCTGAGTTGTGCCTAGTCAAAAACTCCTCTTCTGACCACGACTTACCTCCGTGAAACAGCTAGTACACTGTTACCGTGCCTCCCCTGCGACGACGGTAGTACAGCGAGGGCAACTGAAGGAGTCTGAACCTCTTGGTATGGCTGGGGCCTCACCTCATAGACAAGCCCGGTAGCTCGTCACTGAACCCGCTCCTGCCGCTTCTGGTCCAGTTTTCCGAACGGGCCCCAGATGATGTTGCCGTACTCTAAGTGCGGACATACTAAGATCTTAGAGAGCATAGAGCATGGCAATGTGCAAGCATCGATATTGGCAAAAGACCACCTCACGACCGCCAGCATCTGGTTGGCCTTGTAGATCGCTTCCGCCGTCTGCTCTTGGGATTTGAGCTGGTAATCCGCGAAGATCCCAAGAGTTGCCTGCAACCATCAATTGAGAAAACTGAGCTCTGCAAGCTCTCTGAATAAGGTTTTTTGCCCACTGTCTTGGATGTCGCCTGATGGACTTCAATACTGTGACCACCCAGCTCCTAACAGACTTGAACCCACTCCAGGTGATCAGCCTGCCACCTCCACCTCGCGCACCATGCACTGTGCCATGGACGTGGCCGGGCGGGCGGAGCGTGCGCTGCAAGAGGCGCGCGCCAGCCTGACGGCGCCGCCGCCGCGCCGGCGCGCCATTGGCGCCCGGCTGCAGCGGCTGTGGGCCGAGCGGCGGCGCGGCCGGCAGCAGCGCGACGACGAGGATGAGGAGGAGGCGCCGGAGCGGCCGCTGCTGGCGCTGCTCGCCGAGCGCGAGGGCCTGAGCGTGCTGCGCGTCAACTTGTACCCGGGCGACGAGGGCTACTCGCTGGCGCTACGCGCGCCCGACGGCCAGGAGGCCGAGTCGGTGCGGCTGGGCTACGACGAGCGCGAGCTGCTGCGCTGCATCGACGACGAGGAGCTGCCGGCAGAGCTGCTGGAGCTGCTCGACCAGAGCGGCTGCCGCGTGTTCGTCGCCGGCTGCGCGGTGGCCGAGGTGCGCGACTACCGGCGCTCGGTCGGCGCCGAGCTCTTCACGTCAGCGTACGTGCTGCTGCGGCCGACGCAGCACACCGTACTGGCCGACCTGGCGCGCATGTTCGCCGAGGCCGACTTCAGCCACGAGGAGCGCGTGCAGATCGAGGCGCAGGTGGCGCTGGCCACGGCGCCGCCGCTCTGCCTGGACCCGTCGCCGGCCGTTGCGCTCGTGGCCAACCAGCAGCAGTGGTCGCATCGCGCGCTGGCCGGCCGCACGCTCCTGCAGGCGGCCGAGCGACGCTCGCAGCCGGCGGCGGCGCGGCGCCGGCGGGCCGCCGAACAGCCGCCGCCGGCTGGCCCGCTGCGCTTACACCAGTTCCTGCAGCAGAAGGGCCGTCTGGGCGGGCCGCCGCCCAAGCGGGCGCGCTGCAACCCGCCCATCGCCGAGGTGCCAGCCGTGAGCGCGCCGGCCGCCGGCGCGGCCGAGGTGCGGCAGCGCGCGCGCCGCGTCGAGTTTCCGGCCGAGCCGAGTCGCGACGCTTCGCTGCACCTGCGCGAGGAGAACGCGGTCGAGTGGGACCGCGGCGGCGGGCGCGTGATGCACATGAAGCTGTCGGTGTACCTGCGGCCGGCCGACGACTCGTACCATGGCCAGCTGTACGTCGACCGAGACTACAAGGAGGGTCGGCGCGGCGGCGCCTGCTGCCGGTTCCCGCTGTGCTGCCGCGCCGCTGCCGACCTCTACGTCAAGCAGTGCATCGAGATCTTCACAGAGTACGGCAAGAAGAGCGCCAAGCTGACGCACCAGGTGGTCGGCCAGCCGCCGCGCGTGACGCTAACGCGCGGCGCCCGCGAGCGCCGTGAGTCGCAGCCGGCGCCGCCGCCCGCGCCGCCATCGGCGCCGGTGCTGTTGGCGCCGCAGCAGCGGCTGGTGCCACAGTCGAAGCTGGCGCGCGGCAGCACGCCGGCGTTGACAGCGCAGCTCCGCAACCCGCCGCTGGTGGCGCGCGCCGGCCCGCTCTCGCAGCACATGGTGCAGGCGTTGGGGCAGGCACGCGTGGCGGCGGCCGCCGCGCAGAAGCACGCGCCGCTGGCCGGCGCCGGCCTGCTGCCTGCCGCGTCGGCCGCGCCGCAGACCATCCAGATCAAGGTGTCGGCGCAGAGCAGCCAGATGACGCAGCTGCTGCAGAGCCAGCTGCAGCACATCCAGGTGACGCTGCCGCAGCCGGCCGCCGGTGCGCCGCCGGTGGTCCGCCTGGCGCAGGCACCGGCGGCGGCGACGACCGCTCGCCCACCGTCCACCGGGCTGCAGGCGCTGCTGGCCGACTCGCCGTCGGCAGAGAATCCGGCCGCCGGCTCCAGTCTACTGGAGAAGCTAGTGGCACCGTCGGCGGCGCCGGCCACCGCACCGCCCACCAAGCTGCTGCCGCTCTCGTTCCAGACGCCGAACCCGGCGGCGTCGCGGCCCGAGCCGGTGTCGCGCGCCGAGCTGCAGAACCCCACGCTGACCGAGCTGCTGAACGCGCCACCTGCCGCGCCGCGCCTGGCGCCGCCGGCTGCGGCGCCCCCGCCGCCACCCGCGCCCACACCCGCGCCGGCGCCTGCGCTACCGCCGGCGCCGCCGCCACCGCTGCCGCCGGCGGCTGCCGGAAGCGGGGATCTGCTGAGCACGGCGCTGCAGCTGGTGCAGAGCGGCGACTTGCTGGCGGATCTGGAAAACCTGGAGGACCTGCTGAACGCCGACACGCCCGACCCGCCGTCGGCGACGAAGCCCGAGTTGCTCGCGCCGCCGCCACCGCCGACGGTGGTCGCTCCGCCGCCGCCGTCCACCGCTCCGCCGCCGCCGCCGCCGCCGCCGCGCCTCCTACAGAAGCCGGAGCCGCCGCCCAACGTCAACATCATGAACTTCCTGTCGGAGGGCGTCAACGTGGCCAACCTGCAGCACCTGCAGCAGGGCCTGCAGACAATCCCGGGTTTGCACAACGTGCAGGTCTCCATCCCCGGCATCGGCGCGCCCATCTCGATCAACGTGGGCGCGCCGGTGACGTCAGCCCCGCGCGTGGTGCTGCCCTCGCCGACGGAGCCGGCGCCCGTGCTGCTGACGGCTCCGTCGCCGCGCGCGGCCGCCGCCCCCTCGCCGTCGCTGCTGCCGCCGCCGTCCTCGCCGGCAGCCGGCCTGCAGCGGCCAGCCGCGTTCCAGGTGCTCTCGACGGTGGGCGGCCGGCGCGCCTCGGCCGGCCCCGTGCTGGTCAGCAGCCAGACGCCGACCAGCGCCGGCCAGCAGGTGTTCCTCAAGACGGAGGCGGCCGGCGGCCAGCAGGTGATCCTCACCACGCAGGCGCCCAGCGGCGGCCAGCACGTGTTCCTCAAGACGGAGCCGGCCGGCGGCCAGCAGGTGATCCTGTCGAGCCAGACGCAGGGCGGCCCGTCCTTCTCGGTGGTGCAGGTGCCCGCCGGCCGGCTGCAGGGGCTCGTGACGGCGCCGCCGCTCACGCCCCAGCAACGCGCGCAGCTGCTGCAGCGCCAGATGCAGCAGCAGCAACAGCAACAGCAGCAACAACAACAGCAGCAGCAGCGCAAGCCGTCCAAGTAGCCGCGGCCGGCGCCCTCTGGCTTTGGTGGCGGGCCGAGACGGCGGCGGCGCGGCGCTGACTGCGGTGCAAGCGGCCAGGTCGGACGCCGGGTGCCGCGGCCGAGCGGAAGCCGCCGCGGACTGACGGCCCGAGGCAGGCCGGAACGGTCGCCACAATGTCCGGCGACTGCAGGGTCTGAGCGCAACGCTGAAGATCGGGTCGCGATGCAATGCTGTGTGCAGAGCATGGCAGGGGTGTAGTTTCGTGTTCAGCTGCAGGAGGCTTCCCTCCCCATTCGCTTTGAGAAGGAAATTGGCAAAATCTGGGGAGAAAATCCGCCGTTTGTGTACAATAGTGGGTACATTTAGCCACTTCCATTTTCCATCCCCCTCCCATAACTTACTTTGCGAAACTACGTCCCTGAACACTGGCTGCGCCTGTGGAGGCGAAGCAAAGCTGCAGTTCTCTGGTTGGCTTCGTTGGATTACGTTCATGCCTGCACTGTGGCCGTGCCGAGGCCGGTTGCCTGCGAGGTGCGCCGATGGTGTTGATCTCCCGTGTGTAACTGCTATATCAGTGCATTATCGGCGTAAAGGTCTTCGGTGAAGGAGCGCGACTGAGGCTGAGGCTGCATGTCGTGATCCAACCGTTGCTGAGCCCTGCGCCTAGTGGCGTGTAGTGTCGGTCCTCTGTTACCTCGTTTCCGGGGCATTTTGAAGTTCTTCTATTTAGAAACTGAGTCCCATTTGTGTCAATCGTGTCGATACTGGAAACAACTTGTGTGAAATGTAACTTGTGTAAATGTGAAGAGCGTGGAGCTCTCTAACAAGTTTTTGGAGCGGAGAATGTCTTTTTCAACATTTAAAAGAGATAAATGTCGCAAGATTTCTCGTGAGCGTCCTCTCCAATGCCTTGGTATTGGAGCTATGCGTTGTACGGACATGACGTGCCGGAGTGGGTGATAACATTACAAAACCGGCGCATTGATGAACATAACATCAATGGCACGCGGCTTGATAGGCCATTTACGCTGATCTCGTCCGTCTGCCTGCCCACGGGCGTGTCGCCGTCAGGACCGAGGACCGACGTACGTGTCAAACTAGGCGCAGCTAAAAGCGTGAGCCGACAGCGTCAAGATGCTCACGGTTGGGGCGGTCAGGGGTGGGGACGGCTCGGTGAGTAAACGGCGAGCGTGTGCGGTGAGATCTTCGTTGTATTTTTCGTGTGGACGAGGCCTGAACAAATCACTATCGAGTCGTGAATACGAGTGCCCAAATTATTCGGCAGCACCGGAAATGACTTATACGAACAGTCCTGCCGGTATTGGATCACCGCGCCGCCAGCGGTTGTGACATCTGTAGTTTGCAAGGCAGAACAGCCGCAGCCAGAATATGGCCACACGAAACCAGACATAGCGCACCACGCTCATTGTTGGCAGAGGATCCAGGGGGCAAAACCGTTCAATGACTCCGTCGGCGACTCGGCAAGGCGAAGCCCTCGGGCGGGTTTGACTCACCGTATTCGGAGAGGCGCGTGTCCTCTTGCACGTTCCGTTCGGCTGTTGGCCGGTGCACGGAATGAGAGAAGTCGCTCGGCAGTGGAGGCCAGCTGTGCAGTAGTACAGCGGTCGAAAGCGGCCACTGGAGCAGCGCGGGTGCGAGCCACATCACGGTCCACATTTGCCTGGCAACGTGGCATACAGTCTTGCCTTGCATATCACAATCTTGTTTGTAAACCAGTTTGGGTGAAGCGGGAACCATCGAACGCAATTTTCACGGTAAAGAACGCGAAGGACACGCTGGTGACCAAAATCGATTCGCACCAAATGCGTGTTGATAACATGTTGTCTGCGTTAGAGCGAAACATCGTACATCGGTAGAGTGGGAAAGACGCGATGCCGACAAGTCCCATCTGAAGGCGCAAAAACGCATCTTTCCCTTCTCTTCGCACTTGGGAAGAGAGGTAGGGCGGGGGGGGGGGGGGCGAGGGCTGACTCCGGAACAAGGCCCGAAGTGCAGCACGGACCAGGTTATTCGTGTCGGTTATTCAACGGCTTTTTTCGATTGCATCTGCGATCGCAAGCATCCGGCGGTGAACTAATGCACATGCATGGGAGACAACCGACATCAAAGCTCGGTTGTCGGTGGACTGGCACTCGGTATAAGGCGCTTCGCTGCAGGCTTGGGCACTCCCAGCACGCCACGACTGTCGACGATGCACTCTCGCAGTACAAACACTCACAAGACAACCTGTATTGCCACTGGCCAGCCAACAATGTAAACATAAACCCCACGCACACACACACGCACACACACGCTGTCAAACAAGCACAGAAACGTTTCTAAGGCCGTCCACTCAGCGCTGCTGGGCCACTGGCTGCGGTGCGCTGTCACCGCCGGGGGGTGCGCCGGCCAGCAGGGGGCGCACCTCGTCGGCGGCCACCTCCAGTGGCGTGAGCCCGTCGGCGTCACGTGCCGCGACGTCAGCACCACCCTCGATCAGCGCGCTCACGGCCGCCGCATGCTGGCAGCTGCTGGCGTAATGCAGCGCCGTCTGCCCGTCGGGGTCGCGCCGGTCGACGGCGGCGCCCCTGGCGAGCAGCAGGCGCACTACATCAGCGTGGCCGCGGTCGGCCGCCCAGTGCAGCAGGGTCAAACCATCGTCGCCCGGCTCATCCCAGGCGACGGCGGCTGGCTCGAGACGCGCCAGCTCGTCCACGGCGCCCGCCCTCACCAGGTCGAACGGCGTGCGCCCGCCGGCCGGCGGCTCCTCCTCCTCGCGCTGGAACGTGGAGACGGCGATGCCCAGGCCCCGCGGCGCCCGTTCCGCCGCCGCCTCCCAGCCAGGGTCGAGCTCGCGCACGGCGCTCACGTAGAGGCGCGCCGCCTCCTCGGCCGGCAGCGCGCCCAGCGCGTGCCACGCGTCCCATTTTCGGCGCGCCGCCAGACTCAGCAGGCCGGGCCGCGCGCCGCGACAGACGCCGGCCGTCGCCTGCTTGTACCAGGCATACAGGCGCAGCAGGTCGGCGTCAGCCAGGCGCCGCTCGGAGGCCAGGCGCACCACGCGGCTGGCGGCTCGCTCGAACTCGCTCTCGGACTCGCCGCCCTCCGCCATGGCGTGCGCGCGAGGACGAGTCTGTGGCGCACCCCGAGCGAGGCGCCCAGGACGAGGAGGCGCTGCTCGCGGACCGACGCGCCGGTAAGAGGGCGAGAGTCGGTGGAGCAACGAGACCTAATCACCGGCGCTGACGGTGGCGCGTCGGACTGATTGGCTGGGGCGATGAACGCTGGGAAGATGTGGCAGCCAGTGGTACTGCTCACTCCAGCAGCACACCCCAGCTGGCCGCGGTGTTCCGCTCTTGTCTGCTTAGTCTCTGGGAGCATTGATCACCAGCTGTGATCCCTCTAGCATGTGACTGGCTTTGTTGGAGATGGCATTGAAGCTCTCCTTGGTTCCCATAACGACGAAGCCGAAACCCTGGGTGCAAATAAGAAATGATGAGTGAGACAACAGGATGGTGCAATGGAGTGACATACCATTCCCTACAAAGGGACAGTATAATCAGACTCAAACAGTTCTGCAAGTGCTCACCATGAGGAGGTGGGACAATGTTCTGCATGCAATACAGCCCATCATAATTGCCAAAAAGCTGCAGCTTAAATGCATGACACGTATACACATCTGTACACAGTATACTTGCAAAATCAGAAAATCAGACATGTTTTAAAGACCAGCCTGTGAAATGTTAGCCCCTCTCCAGCACCTGTTCCATCTGCCTGGTAATAGGCTATAACTTACCTTGCTCAGCCCAGACTGCTGATCAAATATGACGCGGGCGCTGGCGACGGGTCCAAACTCCGAGAAATACGTGCGCAATTCACGCCCACTCACTGTCCATGGCAGGTTACCAACAAACAGCTTCAGGCTCTGTCTGGCTGCCATGACCTGAAAATCAATGTCTGAATAAGCCATTTTCCAAACAAATGGTGCATGTAAACAATCCCTGGCCAGGAGCCATGCATGGAATATGTCACTGGAAAGCATATGCAGGTAGTGACAATGGCTACGGCCTGTCATCAGTGTAGCCAAGGGGGGGAGGGGGCACAGGAGCTATGGCCATTTGCACAAGGCTAAGATGTTTATCCTAGATCAGGGAAGTATGTCTGGATCCTTTTGCATGAGACAGAGTGGATGAGAACTTGAATTCAACTTAGCCAATTTGACTGCACAGCTGTTGTGACATCACTGCCCCTGTTGATAACTCAGTATGTATTGTTGCATCAGAGTGGTGCAGTTGCACCAATAGCATGAATAGTGTGCTGCACAGTGAACAGCCAGTCAACAGGTGGTCACTGCTACCTCCATTGTCAACAATTGGCAGTGTGGGTGTGTGGTTAACTATCCATGGACAGACTATCTGGTCAACTGCATGTGCATGGCCCTCTGCAATCTTAATCACCATCTCTGTGTGTGCTGCAAGGTGACCCAACAGCTGTCAAATCCTCAATAACATCATGGAAGTTCCAAGGTCACTGAGGTCTGCGTGACTTTGGAGGAATTTGAGTTAGAGAATTATTTTATATTATATTATACATAGATATTACATATGTTCTGTATTAACTGAAATTAATGGTGATAGGATATGAAACTCCAGCCCTCAGATTAATGCCCGGAGTGCTCTGAATGAATCACAAGGATATTGCTGCCATGCCAGACATGTTCAGAAAACTGCATACTTTTTACAGTCTTGCAAGTGGCCAGACTGCAAACAACAAATGTGACCAGTATAGCATCACCATTGCTCAATTTCAAAATATCTGCCCCAGAGCCACAAATCTGCAGTGCAAATCTGCACATGTTAAGTCTGTTCTGCATACCACACTCTTGAGTTTGTTGCTCCATTGCACCAATTCCAGCCAATAGAAGGCAAATGTTTTGAGGTGATGTGATGTTGGAAAGCTACCTGAAGGTGGCTCTTCAAAAAAAATCCCACCCAAATGGAAATCAAGCACATTTTGACCAAGCCTGAGTGGTGCATTTGAGCTCAGGTTCAGTACATCAATGTCTTGTATGCATCTAGTGCAATGGATGCATTTTGTGCAATGAATGAATTTTTTATACTGGAACAGTGGGATATTTCTAAATATCATAAATCAGAAGGATAGAATCCTACATGTAAATCAGAAGGATAGAATCCTACGAACTATCTGGTTATCACATATGATGACATACCCTGTCATTGTCCTTTTTGAAAGCTGCATGTCTAGGGCAAAACACCAGACAGCAAATCTGGGTGGCATGCTACATACAAAGTAAAAGGCTCCTCAGTCCTCTGCATTCACACGTGAGTGCTACACCACTTAAACATAAAACACAGCAATGCACCGACACATGTAACTTTGCTGCATCACATAGCAGATATTCTGATGCATTATCTCCAATGCTTATAAAGTAGCAGTGAAGGGATGGGAGAGAGGTACAGGGTACTGTACAGGTAATCGGTGGATGAGTTGTCAAGATCAGGAATGTGCATCTGCCAAAAAGTGCCAAACTGAATATGGCCTCAGGGGGCAATATGCAATTAGTGCTCCAACATTGACAGGAGTGAAACCACTTGCTCACACAAAGTTAAGTATATTGTCCTTGCATGGACACAATATTGGAGCACACTGCAACATAAGAAAAGTTGCATATTACGTGTACATTACCATCTAAAAGAAGCACAGAATACAACACTCTATGGCTGAAGTGCAGACACTAGAAAATTGTCATGACAGCTTATCTGTTGGCCCCAAATGCAGCTAGTGGCGGTCTGGCTAAATGATACCTCATGTCGAGGTGCCGGAATTCAGCTTTGAGTTGCGATATTACGTGGCAGAAAGGGTCATAATGGTTCAAAAATTGCTCCTACGAATTGCGTAATGAACAAATAGCCACTAAAACACCGAGTGAAATCGGATTCGTATTTGCTTGCGAGCAGACTCATGCCAGCTCCAAACTCAAAATAACAGCAACTACATACCAGGAAGTTAACGCCCAGCCCCACGAGGCAACGCCCGGCAACCGGCCTCCGAGCAACCGCCTACCACAGGAATTCGTCGAACAGGCGCGAATACGACTATCAAGATTAATTACTGAGATGGTCACACGTCGTCGCAGCTGCGGCGCCATTGCAATGAGCTTTTAGTGATGGACAGGCGGCCTTACCCTCGGATCCAAAGGAAACTTATCGCCATTCACTACAGCGCACATTTAGTTTGGGAGGTGGATGAGTGCGGTCGTGGTAATTCACCGACTACTGTTCATTCCTTCCAATGAAAGATATCTAAACCGGAGGTGCTAATCTGGGGTGGCGGCAGGATCAAAGGTATAAGGTGATCGCCCAGAATTTCCATTACTCTAGTAGCCATGAATTTGCATCGCAGTTGGTGAACGGGTCCGTTGGAGTCATAGATGAGACAGTGTAATACAGCCTTATTCCCCGGAGAAAAATCCGGCAGAATGGGAGAACAAAAAGCTATTTTCTCGATTCTCCTGTTTTTTCCGAGCAATAAGGCTATTACTACTGTCTTATCTATGTGAATAATGTTCCTCACGAACGCACTGAACAACTTGGGTCTGCTAGAATTTCAATGAGGCGTCTCCTGGATGGTTCCCAATCCCTGTATCCAACAATAGCATCACAATAGTCATATTCGATTGCATGTGTCCTTTTCCAGGACATGGTTGCAAAGTTCTTGCTTTATGCCTTGTTTTTGCAAGGAATTGGTCTTTGTAAGGTGTTCTACAAAATCCTTGTAAAATGCCAATCTGGTGCAGATGACTTTATTAGACATCAGTCAAGTTGGCAAGCTTTAATAAATTATATGCTGTAACTTACAGGGCATGTTGATGGTCATTGTGCACATTATCATTACCAATGTTGTAGCCTACCAAATATGTTGCTCGAATCACAGCAAACTTCAGGAGCTTGTTATATTTTTAACAAAAGATATGTAATAGGCATACATATGGCAGAATATGCCATTTTTTGTGTTTGCCACTACCACCTAAACTTTGTAACAGGTCATAGGTAGCAAAGGGGCAGACAATCAACCATTGAGCAGAAATGTGGCATTGACTCATGTGTAGCAAGAAAATGCAGGGAATGGGATTTTAATACAGGCTTTAAGATAAATAATATCTAGCATGCATTATGAATGTGAACAACAGCTATACTGGCAGGTATTGCATGATTGTTTGTGACTCACTGGTGAAGTAATTTTACTGAGTTGTCAAAATGAATAGCTGGATGAGTGTCCAACATGGCAACATCATTTTCTGTGATGTCATGCAGTTGAAAGGCATCAGCTCTCAGCTATGTTGAGCACAAGTCAGTTGAAGGCATTCAACTGATTTATGCTTCATATCACTTGTCCAGCATATCACTTGTGTCAATATTAGCCAATCATGTTTCTTTCATAATGAAGCCCATCACCCAGTTGCAATTCCAGGAAACTTTTATGTGGCTATATTCACATGAATATCACCAAACATTATAACCATTGGTATTTCCTCATTGCATTTGTCTCATTACAGCCTGTAGCACCCTGCATGCACGATGAAGAAGTCGGCACTGAGCAGTCTGTTCAGTGTCGACTCTGCCTCAGCTGATAAGTCCGTGCTGACGTACCAGCGGCCGCGGCAGCCGGGCCCGACCGCCGACGCGACGGCGGCGCTGCCACCGGAGCCGCCAGAGCCGGCGCCCGGTGCCGGCCTTGCGGGCGGGACCGTCGCCGCACCAGCCGGGGCAGCCGCCGCGCCAGCCGGGGCAGCCGCCGCGCCAGCCGGGACGGCCACCGCGCCAGCCGGGACGGCCGCCGCGCCAGCCGGGACGGCCGCCGCGCCAGCCGGGACGGCCACCGCGCCAGCCGGGACGGCCGCCGCGCCAGCCGGGACGGCCGCCGCGCCAGCCGAGCTGCTCGCTTCCTGCGTGGTGTCGGCCTTCACGTACTCGGCTGAGCGGGTCGTGCCGCTGGGTGCCGTAGGCTGCGCGGTGTACTGGGACGCGGCGGCGCGCCGCTCGTTGCTCGTGCTGTACAAGAGCCAGCAGCAGCAGATCGGGGTGCTGTCGCTGACGCCGACCGCGCTGCCGGCCATCCAGCCAGAGCTCTACCTCAGCTTCGCGTGCGACGACGGACGGCGCTTCAGTGTGCGCCTGCCGACGCCGGCGGCTCTGCACCAGCTGCTGTTGAAGATGTTGCTGGCCGCGACACTGGCGCGCCCCGAAGGCCCCCTTGCCGTCCGACTCAGCCCTGTCGTGGACGAAATGGCGGGCGGGCGGCGCGCGCGGCTCGGCGACCCGCTGGAGCTGGACGTGACCGAGTGGGTGCTGGACGAGCCGCGCTCCGGGCCGTACCGCCGGCTGGGACCGGCCACCCGTCTCTCAGCGCCGCTCGACGCCGGCTCATGGCGCGCAGCGCTGGCCGGCGCGCGGCCCGGCCAGCGGCTGCTGGTGATGGCGCCGGCGACGCCCGAGCGCGCCTACGAGGCGGCGGTGTCGGGCGTGCGGTCGCCTCCGCGCCAGCTCCGCCTCTCGCCCACCGAGCTGGATCGGCAGGGAGACGACACGTGTTCGGCGACAGAACCCGCGACCGCGCAGCCGGCGGCAGGAGACGCCGCCGCCGCCGCCGCCGCCACCGCTGCTGATGAACTGCCGCCGGCCGAGCCGGACGGATCCGGCACCAGCGGTCCGGCCGGCGCGCCGCAGCGAACGGACGTGCTCGCCCGCATGGCGCGGCTGGGCCAGCAAATGTTCCCGTCAGCGGCGGCCGTCCGCGGCCGTTCGCCGCCGCCCGCCACCGTGCCGCTCCTTCACTCGGCTTCGCCCGACTCCGCGCCCGCGGGCGCCCGACGCTCGCCGTCGCCGGTCCGGCGTGCGCGCTCGCCGTCGCCGGTGGTGCGGTCGCCGTCGCCGCCGGCGCGGCCAGGCGCGACGGTGGTGTACCGCGGCGGCGCGGCGCCCGGCTGGCCGCCGCCGCTGCGACTGGACGGCGCTGAGCTGGGCGTGCACATGGGCCGCATCGAGGCCAAGGTGGAGGCGGTGCTGGCGCGGCTTAGCGGCGGGCCCGTCGCGGCCACCGCCGCCGACCCCGAGGCACTGGCCGCCGGCGTGCGCCGGCTTGCCGAGGAGAACGCGGCGCTGCGGCGCCAGGTACGCCAGGCGGAGCAATCCGAGTTGCGCCTGCTGCAGGCGGAGCGAGGCCGTGCGGCGCTGTCGGCCGAGCTGGCGGAGGCGCTCGGCGAGCTGACCGAGGCGCGCCGTCGGCTGGCCGAGGCGCAGCGCAGGGAGGCGGCCGCCGAGCCGGCCGGTGCCGAGCTGGCCGGCCTGTTGTCGGCGGCCGAGGCGCGCTGTGCCGCCCTGGAGCGCGAGGCGGCGCGCCACGAGCGCGAGTACAGCGCCGGCCTGCGTGCCGCCGCTGAGACGGCCGGCCGCGGCGGCCCGGAAGCGCGCCGCGTGCTCCGCGCCGTCTACAAGACGCTGCGCGGACGCTTCGCGGCCGGCGCCTCGTTCATGGGCGCGGAGGTTAATGACATCATCGCCGACGTCATGCGCCAGACGTTCCAGCAGCTGGCTGGTGAAGGGGATGGCGGAGCGGGTGGACCGGCCGCCGACCGGGCCGGCCCGGTGGGACAGCCGGCTGCGGCTGGGGGCGCGGGGCGGGCCCCAGCAGCGGGGCGACGCGACGTCGCGCCGCCCCCTCTTCCGCCCTTCGTCATGCATGATGAGCACGTGGAGAACGGCGACGAACCGTGATGAACATCGGCGCCAATTATAGGGCGGTCGCCACGTGTAAGTGCTCATGCCTGCCGTGGTTGTGATAACTTCAGTTACGGTGACTCGCGATAACTGCTCCCTGGTATCACTCAGTCCCAAGGATACGCCATATTACTGCGGAAGGTGCAAGATATTGTAGCCGTGATATGGGGCGCAAAATGAACGCGGCTGTAGACGTGCCCCAAAGTCCAAGTAACGCCAATAGTCGTGATATGTCACGCCGTGGTACGCGCCTGAGATATAATCGCGTTTTATCACGTGCTTTGAATAAATGCGAAGTTGAGAGGACTTATTTCCTCTGCGTCATAGGTGTTCAACCCGACACAGCCACTGACTGAGACTGTGACTGAGCCATTCCCCATCACCCAGTGTAATTTACAACCACCTTTCACACCGCATTGTGTACCGAGAAACGCTCACACCTAGCTGGCATGTATTGCAGAATGTAGATGAAATCGCAAGGTGTACAGGGGAGCAGTTCCTGGAAGCGCTCGACACATTGGGCCGTTTCGCGGACATCGCTGCCGCCTCGCTGCTATCAGAGAACGTTCCAGCATCACGAAGCGAAGCGTATTCCAAGGGAGCCTTTTGCCGCGCGGTGATGATTACGCATACTGCGCGACTCACGCGGTTCTGGCCAAGATGACCGCACGTGGCGCGCAGAGCACACACGGCACGGGGCTGCACGGCCAAAGGCGTCGTTTGGCACCACCCTCATCATCACCAGGATAATGGTCGGGCGGCGCCGCAGGCCGCTTGGCTGGGATCAAAGCCAGGTGCCGGGCCGCGGCCATCCTCCCAACGAAGCGCTCCGGAGTCCGCAAACAAATCACGGCTGACTTCACTCCTAGTGCGCTACTGAACAACTCTCATCCTTTCGGTTGCGAGGAGTTCAGAAGGAGTTGGGGGGAACGAGAGGGGGCGCAATCAGCCGCAAAAAACCCGGCCGCCGTGCCTTTACCCGCCATCCACTTCAAACCGCCGTTGCGCGTCGGGGCGTGGCGTCCAAGCCATCGGCGCGTGGCGTCCAACAGCCGCTGCCGCACGGCCGTCAGCTTCGGCGCCCAGCGGCGGCCGGCAGACCCCGTCACTTGTCCGGCTGCGGGCTGGCGCTGTCGATCGACGACACGGCGGCGCCCAGCTCCAGCTTCCTGACCTCCAGCGAGCGCAGGCTCACCAGCGCGCACGTGGCCGTCCGGTGGAACTCGGGCAGGCACAGCAGACGCACCCGCTGGCCGCGCGGACCTGGCGGCAACAGGGACGGTGGGGCTCGCAGCTCGCAGCGTTCCTCCCCGGGCAGCTTCTCACAGCCGCATGACCCCCACCCCACACGCACGCACGCACGCACGCACGCACGTAGCATGTAACTGCAAAAACGTGCGGCGTCTGTGCATGGCAAAATACTGTTTCGATGACGCTTTGCCCACTACACGCATGAAACGTCACTCTCTTCCCCTCCGCTGGATTTTGTGGCCTCCTTTTTATCAACTCATACAGTTTCACGGTACGCGCCGACCAGAAGACGTACACCGGGCCGACGACAGATGGTCCACCGTACCCCCGGTAACAAATGGAGTAATGGACTAGGTTGTCACGGCCCACGCACCTTCGTGGAGCTTGGTGGCGAAACTCTTCTGATTTCCGGCGAACAGCAGGTCTGGGCACTCCTCGATGATGAACGGGTCCCGGTCGTAGTACGGGTAGCAGCCTGCCCAACGACGGATGGACGTGGACAGCGTTCGGTCGGGCGGGTGATGACGCCGTTTGCGTCCTGTGGTCCCATCCCCAAACACGCTTCATTGAGGTGCTCTTAATCTGTTTTATTTCCGGTTTCAAATGTCTTTCTTGGGTAATGGGAGAAGTTATCACTAAAAAGGTTGCTTATAACTCCACAGTCTGAAATTGTTTCAATATGTTCCACTTGTTTAAATGGCTTTATTGTACGCCGCCTCCCTCATCTAAACCGACAGGGAGCACGTTTCGGAGCCGGCAGCGGCCGGGGCGACTCACTGAGCGTGTCGGGCGCCGTCGGGCAGAGGTGACTCCAGGCCAGCAGGCGCTCCAGAGAGGTCAGCGGGTCGTCCAGGGCGCTGTACCTGCCGACGAGCCGTGTCGTGTTCGTCAGAAACGTGGACAAACGTCGTAAAGATAACAGTTTTACAAGTAAATCGACAGGGCCAGTCACAACGCACGTGACAAATTTACAACGCTTAAGCAGTCGCCCAATGAACCGAGCTGGTTTTGTTCATGCTGCCGCGGATCAGTTGTCTATCCGGGTGTTCGATTTAAGCTAGTTTGTACAAATGTCCAGTGCCTCAGCGATGTTGCCGCCAGTTCCGTCTATGCACCGACGTATGGGTCGGTACAGTCACTTCTGGATAGGGTGCTGGCCCATTCGGATGGGACGGCAGCGGGCAATGCTCAAACGCCGTCTGTTGTGGCAGGGTGCTGAGTGCAGTTGGCGGCGTCGCTGCAAGGCATCCCTATAGGAAATATTTCAGCGATTTTCCTTCCTTTTCAAACACGGTGACCAGCGTTCTCGGGCCCGAACTGCGTCACTTGAACACGGCGGGGCGGTTTCGGATCATGAAGTTTGCCATTTTTCACCAATTGCAACTTCATTTACCATGTGTTCTTGTCCATAGTTCTTGATACATGACCTATTATAATGACAACACTAGAACATAGAGTAAATGACTACCGCTACATTTTCTCCGACCACCTATTCCAATACAAATTATAGCTATATGGACATCATCACCCCCCCCCCCCCCTTCCCGCGGCAGCAGCGTGCGGACTCGGAGCCCCAGCTCACGCTGCCGCCCCCCCCCCCCCCCCGCCCCCTCACCCACCGGTAGAGGTCGTGCACGTTCTGGCCGGCGGATCCCGTCAGCCGTCGGCCTGCCACCACCGCCTGGTACGGGTTGGTGACGCCGCGGAACGTCCGGTACGCCGCCGCCTGCCGGACAGTCGGCGAAGCTATAGTGTCCCCGTCGGCCGCCGTCGTCAGGACACCACGTCCGTGGTGACATGGCGGCGCAGAGGCCGGCAGTGACCGGGAGTGACTGACTCTGCTGTTCCAGTGATTTGGCATGGCCTGTAGCGCAGACTTCTGCTTTATCAAATTTCAGTCGAATCGATCAGATTCCGTTCCCAGCGCACTGCGTTCACCACGATTCATTACGCGCACCATGTCAGAATATTTAGTCGATGCTGACGTCAACTAGAAATCTGTTTTGACTTCAGAACGAACTCGAGAGGTCTGTTCCGGTGATTGGGGGCCGAGGGGACGGGAAGCGTGGTATTGAAGCAGCTTCATGACTTGGTAACTCTCGCAAATTCTACAGCAAAAGCCCTCAGACAAGTCCTACCGCACTTTTGCGAACACCCGCTCTTGTTCATCAGATATCGATCGTGACAGCATAAAGATATAACCGTGACTGTGACGTTACGGTGATCGGCAACCACCGGCGATCACACACCGTGACAGACCTGGCGCGTGAGCCAGCGGCCGCGCAGTGACCCGCTCTGGGCTCAGGATATGGCAGAGATGAAACAGTCCTCCACTCGGGTTTCACAGACCGCAGGTCATAGGTCACTGGCCACAGACCATAAGGCACAGGCCACAGGTCATAAGGCACACGCCACAGACCACTGGTTACAGGTCACAGGTCATAGGCCACAGGTAACAGGGTACAGGTCACAGGTTACAGGTCACAGGTTATGGGTAATAGGGCACAGGCCACAGATCAACGGCGAGGGTCCAGCGATCGCTGCCCGCCGTGACCCACAGCAGCCTGACCTTGGGCAGCAGGCAGCGGTGGAGCGCCTGCTGCGGCAGCAGGTGGTTGGTCGGGTCAAACTCGCCCGGCATCAGGTCCACCGGGCAGGAGGCGGCCAGCTGCTGCAGCAGGTCGTCCAGCGAGCGCACGGCTTGCGCGGACTGCTCGGCCACGTCCGAGCCCAGGTACGCGGCCCGCTGCCGGGCCACGGCTCAAGGTCAGCGAGCGCACGGCCTGCGCCGACTGCTCGGCCACGTCCGAGCCCAGGTACGCGGCCCGCTGCCGGGCCACGGCTCAAGGTCAGCGGGCTTACCCGGCGAAGCACGGAGGTCGTGTCACCCGGCACACCGCCGGTCGGCAGGGTCGGCGGACACGACACTGAGACTGCGCGGTCACATGGGAGGGAGCTAGGGTTAGTTGGATCACCTGACATAACAGCGGCGATTGGGGTCAGATGGTCACACAAAACGCACATCATCTGTTTGTTTGTTCGTTAGTTGTCTTTTAACTGTCACTGCATAGCCATAAAGGACCAACACATCCTCATTGCATAAAAAACAGCATGGCAATGCTGCACCTGGAAAATATGACATTCAGACGATGCCCCACACAGCCATTAAGTGGCAGAACACCTATGCATGCCAGCCCCTCTGTGACCTGCTCCAGCGACGGACCTTGAGGAAGTCTTTGTTCAGCCCCTCTGTGACCTGCTGCAGCGACCGACCTTGAGTCCCTGTCCAGCCCCCACCCCCGTGATCTGCTCCAGCGACGGACCTTGAGGAAGTCCTTGTCCTGGCTGCTGGCGCTGAGCGAGTTTCCGGCGACGATGACGCGGACCACGGCGGCCATGTCCCGCTGCTGTTCCTCTGACCCCAGCTGACCGGTCACAAGGTCAACCAGCAGCTGCGACAGGAACATGTCGCCGCCGGCCTGCAGACCGAGCCCCGAGACCAGCAGAAGCCATCTGGGGTACACAGAGGCCACTCAGAGGTCAAACACGGGTCACAGGTCAACAACGGCCAGAAGAGCCAGTCAAGAGAAGGGCAGCAGCTACCTGCGGTAACACAGAGGTCGAATAAAGGCATTAAGTTACTATCAGCCATCATACTGAGTCCCTTGCTCAGTAAAATCCACCCTGGGTCCACATACCTAGAGGTCAATGAAGGTCAACAATCACACATGGCCTACTGAGTCGTTAGACTATCAACAGCAAGCTGAGGTCACGCGCGGGTCACAGAGATGACAGGGGCAGCTGCAGGTCTGCCGACCGAGTTCACACACCAGACGCAACCACCTCTGGCGATGGCGGCTGGTTTAGAGACTCACTCACATTGAGTCACATGGAGTTACGCAGCGTTCCAAAATGCATCCAGTGGAGTGTGTATGATGCAAATATAAATTAACGCGACCAGAATCCTGGCTCTCCGGCGGCCTCCGCCCGCTATTCGTTGGCGCTAATCCCTTGCCCCTTGCCGCTAAACCCAGAGATCTAACCCCCCTTCCCCCCCAGACCCATATGTCCAGCCTCAGGCGCTTAGATGCTGGGTTGGGCGCCGCCTGGTTCGATGCTGATTGGCTGATTTTGAGCAAGGAGAGGGGCAACGGGCAGCGAACTCTAAGCCGGGAGTGTCAAAGTGTGAAAAATATTGATATCCTTTCCACCCACGCGGCCGATAACTGAAACGTTGGTTACGTAGAGGGCGCATGTCACTGCCAGCCTAATCGAGGCGGCCAAAAGGCAGTTGGCCCAGTCCTGGTGCGCACAGAGAACCTATGGAATCACAAAATTTCGGGGGCGGACACCAATGTAGCATTCCCTTGGGTCAGCAGCGCACACTCTGACGTCCCAGGTCACAAATGCCAGATTCCAAATAAGCCAACCAATATCACAGCTTCATCACAGTATATATATATATATATATATATATATATATATATATATATATATGCATGACAGCAAAGGCAATGCAACATCTGGCTGAAGGAGTATCAAAGGCTCACCAGTCACCCCAAATCCACCCTGGAGCTCAGCCCAACACAAAGCCCAATGCCCTCAGAGACACACATCCCCCGCCAGGTCAAGAGGTCCTATCCGACTGAGGCCGCTCATGTGGTCAGGCGTCAGGCCACTCACTTGTCCTCGGTGGGCAGCGGCCGCTCCGGCTGCTGCAGCGGCAGGTCCGGGAAGCGGATCTGGCGCACGCGGAACTTGCCGCCCACCTCCTCCCGGCCCAGCACAGCGCAGATGATCCCTGAGATAGGGGCGCAGAGGCTCAGGCCATCACCCAAACGAGAGTCGAAGTCCTAATGCTAGTGCCACCACATAGAGTGGGAGCCAGATGATCTCAGAAACAGGGATGCGAGTGGCAATTGACCGCCCACGCGGAGGTCCCCGAAGGTTAACCAGTCCCCACATGGAGACTGGGTGTCAGATGATCCCTGAAAGAGGGATCATCTGACGATGAGGGTCAGATGACCGCTGAAACGGCGTTTTGAGGTGATGATTTCGATTAGAAGGTGCCTGACACGGTGGTCAATGGTCAGAACTCCCCTGAAGTAGCGGTTCGAGATCCGATCGACCCGAGCGTGGTGTCCAAGGGCCGCATGGTCCCTGGTCAGATGGTCCCTGGCCACATGGGCCCAATAGTCAGATGGTCTCTAAACCAGAAGACCAAAGACAGGGGTCACAGTCAGTCACAAGAAAACCATTGCTGGAGTAAGAACCATTGTCCTAAGGGATACGAAGGGGAGGGCAGGGCAGAGCGCGTCACAAAAAAACATCCCTAAAACCCTACCTAATGACCACCTGTCTCACATATCCACCACATATCTTGCAGATCAAACAGTCCATACTAACCACGTGAACTCTCTCCACGTATCACGTGCGATGTCCGGTTTATATTTTTGCCTTTGTCACTTACCCCCCGACAGCCCGTCCTTGGTCTTGTCACTTACCTTAGTGTTCCCACCCACTGGTAAAACTTTCCACTACCGGCTTCAATACCTTCGTCTACATCGAACAGGCTAGAGCTTTGGCAGGGGCTTGGGACTTGAAGGGTTGGGGGGCATAGAGCTGAGTACTTAGCCCCCGTGGCTCCGCGTGTGACCTCGTGCGGTTCCGTGGTCCCAACTTCCAAATGATGCAACTGAACAGCTACTCCCTTTTAATTGATGTTCAGTTGGATTCGAGATGTGCCAGTCATCAATAACCACGTTCGAGTGTGCATATTCAGGACATAATTCAGAGATGAAGCAGCGCTGCTGACATTGTGAGTGACCGCTGCTGAGCAGTGAGTCGGCGCAGGACCCCTCCTCGTCGCCGTGGGTGGGGGCGCTCATCGGGCCGAGGGGGGAGGGGGCGTGAGGTCGACCCCCCGTCATGGTGGACAGCGGCGTTCGTCGAGCCGGGGGCCGCGAAGTCGGCTCATCACCGACAGCCTGAGGGTCCTCTCAGGAATATGAGGCATTACGGAGATGCAAGATAAGGCGTAAATCGAGCGGAGCCGGACGAATGTACTCTGTTCACAACACAGCACGCTGTAAACACAGGCTAGCCATTTAAACCAACATCACCCTTATCTGAATTGGACCAGTCATTGCCATCCTTCTTCCGCTGTTATGTTTAGTTGTCTTCTGTCGCGCCTTGGTCTGAATGCTGTGGGCTGCATCATTATTTTCTTATGGAGATGACCAGTCTGGTCCTTGGCAGCGAAGACAATAGGGATCGGAGCACTCCTTGTTGCCTCTTAGCAAGAAGGCAGGTAAAAAAGGGCACTGCTCCATACTGGTAACATCTGCTATCAACAGCCTAACATCAGTCCCCTATGGTGGACGCCTGCTGCTGGCCATTAACAGCCTAACATCAGGTGGACACCTCCAGCTGGCAGTTCCACTTCAGCCACGATCGGAGCATACAGCTCCTGCACCGCCTTTGCCGTCACCGCCGCCGCGGCCCGATAGTGGCACCTGCCAGTCCCGGCACCCCTGCCGCCACTCACCGGCCACACCTGTCACTCACGTCGCCCCTGCTGCCACCTACCGGCCACACCTGTCGCCTACGTCGCCCCTGCTACCACCTACCGGCCACACTTGTCACTCGCGTCGCCCCTGCTGCCACCTAACGAACACTCCTGTCACTCGCGTCGCCACCTACCAGTGACATACTGCTGGGGGTCAATGTCGCCTTCCAGCCGCACGCGCGCCAGGTCGTCCTCCAGCACCAGCTCATCCGAGTCGGCGATGAACCGATCGCGCGGCGGCTGAGGCATCAGGTTGTGCTGCGGACGGAAGTCACGTCAGACACACGGCTGGTGCCGATTGGTCAGCAGCATCTGCCAATCGGAGGCACGGGTGGGGAGAGCTACGGTGAGAATTGGTGCTGATTGGCCAATGCCACCAGGTATGACAGTCAACACAATGCAGGGCATTGCAGCAAAATCCAGCTTGTTTCATGGACTGATGGGCATCACAATAATGTAACAACGATTAAGGGGTTCCTAGCAGCTGGAAGCGATAGGAGCTGGAAGCCAGCCATATTGATACCTTCACATTTATATGACACCAATAATAAGACCTGTTACTCGATACTCATGACAGTCGCATCCAATCAATGGGACACCAATCAAGCATGACAGCAACACTCACAACTCTCATTCAGCTCTCATTGATGGAGCATGACAGACCTATCATATGCCTTTTCTCGCCTTGTACACGCTGGTAGATGTCTACAGGGATCTAGTGCGCAGCGCGATTCCAGTGACATCTGTGACCATAGTCACACAGATGTCACTGGAAATCTTACTTGCCCTAGCCCTGCCCACCAGATTCCGAGAGGGGCTGCACAACGGAATGACGGGTTTTGCGAAAATGGAATAACCTGGAGGCGTTCGTGCTGCTCACTTTTTGCGCCGGCTGTGCATCAGGTGTTTGACTCACCTCATCACTGATCTCCTTCAAGATCGAAGGCTTCAGCTGCTGTTGCTTGAAGACTGTGCCGAGGAGTACACAGTCACCCTGAACCTCCTCCAGCTGGGATATACCCTTCACCGGCACCCCCTCTGGCGGGGTGACACAAGTTAAACACTCAGACCAAGCTCCTCCAGCTGGGGCACACCCTCGCCAGCACCCCTTCTGGCAGGGTGACACAATATGAACACTCAGATGAAGCTTCTCCAGTTGGGATACATCCTCCACTAGCACCCCTTCTGGTGAGATGGCACAGGCCAGGCAGGGACACAACCATTACTAGCACCCATTTTGGCAAGGTGACAGAAGTCGAGCACCAAGTCCTTGCAGAGAAGTGTCATTCTACACAATTATGCACCATGGGACAACAGCCCCCTGAAGCAAAAAAAAAAGAAGATTAAGTCACAATTCCTTATTTTTATAACACACAAATGACTGTGAAAAATAACAGCCGGCAGTCTCGCGGTCGGGCCGCCGCGCACCACGCGCGGGGCGCCACTGACCCCAGTCGCGCGCGGCCGCCTGCTGAAGCCGGTGCCGGAGCGCAGCCAGCCGCGCGCCGTACACATGGCAGTACTGGCGCGAGAAGTCGCGGCCCTGCAGCCGGAACCGGGCTGCCTCGTCCTCCAGGTCAGCAGCACTCCGCTCCAGCTGGACAGCCGGGACGCCAGCGGCTGGCAGCTGCATGATGACGGTGGCCGGGGAAACGCCACACAGAGGGGCAGGGAAGGTGGCACAGGGGACGCCGGACACTGAGCAGGACTGCTTGACCAGGAGAGCTCACAGCTCACCACTTATGACAGCTTGGTCTGGAATAACAGATTCAGCACTGTTTTTCAATGCAGCATCAGAATGTATGCATCCACAGGAAATACAGGTTTCATCCCAGATTTGATCCACTATCTGCTCACAGACAGCAGAGGGTATGATGGGTGCTCCAACCCCTTTCCACCTGAACAGAATGGTATACTCCTAGACCCTGGATGGCAAAATTCATGAGCAGGTGTTCCATATCATCACATAACATTCCAAACATTCCTGCTGAATACCAGAAATAATGGCATGCAACTTATATGCCTTTACTTGAAAAGGCCAACTTATGAGGGCTTGTAGTTTTTAAAACAGCTTACAAACCAAAACACATGGGGTACCAAAATGTGTCTGTCTTTATAATGAATTATTATTTGATTTGATAGTGTCTGCACAGCACAGTAAGCATTTATGCATATTTGCACACTGTTAGGTACAGACTATTTGCTTCAGTCCTTACAAATTTACTGACAAAGTCTGCTATCGAGTGGCATAAAGGCATCCTGTACTGCTTCCCAGTCTTAAGTGTGTGCTATCTGGCTACAAGATGACCACAGTCTGTTGATTAACCTAAATATATCTAAAAATTGCACAAAGCACTCCTAAAGCTTTCCACCAGTGCATTTCAGCTGATGGCAAGTACATGCAAGCTTGTAATATTAACATACCAAAATGAATGAAGCCATATTGAAGGTCACAGCACAAGGTCTGGGAAAAGAGGAGTAGGCCCTGGACTTAAAATCCTTTTCGCAATGAGTTCTTTCCATATTATCTTTTAGTTAAAAAGATGGTGCAATATTTTTACAGCACTTAAGACATGAATGTGGACCCATGCTCACTGAAAATGGCAGGGGCTCAAAATCAACTTCCTCATATCAGATCTGGGAGACCCAGCCACTTTGGCCACACAAATCATGCACCAGGCATGAAAATGGGGGAACACAGTGACATAAAATTCAGTAAACGGCAACACCAGTCACAAATATCAAAATCTTGCTCCCAGACACAACGTTATCCGAAAAAATTAAACCCAACTCACGAGATGAGGCTCCTTCAGATCATCATCAGGCTGACATAGGCAATCTAAGTACCTCCCGGAATTCAAGGCAGGACCATGCCCGTCCTACGACTGGAGCATCCAGTGAACTGCAGAAATGACAGAAGACTGCACTGATGTCTCATGTGCGCGACATTTGTATCGAATAATGTAGGTTCGCGCCGAAAATAAATTGCTACTATATCCCCAAAAAAACTTTCAAGAACGGACTGTTGTTGGTGAAGGAAATGCGTGGTTTATCACAATTCAGACCAAGTAAGCCGGAATATCTGTGCTAGAGAGGAAAAAAGCGGGCTCGGATCCGTTTTGAGCATCAAGAGGCCTGTTTTCTAGATCAAGAGGCCGTCCTTATGAAAAAACGCAGTCCATGCTTTAGATTAGGAAGTCCCAAGCTAAGTTAAGCAGGTCCCTTTGCTGGCTTAGGCGACCCTCGTTACCAGGGGCGGATCCAGGGGGAGGCACGGGGGCACCCCCTGGCTCCGAACGGGCCCAAAGCCGGCCGAACAGGTACCTTTTCAACACAAAACGCGACGAAAATTGGAGGTCTGAGCCTCCAGGCGTTCAAGAACAACCGCAAGTGAAAGTGGAGGGTCCACATGGAACCGAAATGGTTCCTCACGTATTGATTTGATCTGATCTAATTTGATCGTGATTTCGTTCGTGACATAGGAGGTTGCAGCCTCCTAACGCAATCAAAGTACGTTGTTGTCACTACCACCACGCTTTCAAGGCGGTTGACGACGCATTTGGCTGACGGTGCTCTAAGAGGGCACGTGTGAAAAGAGCACGGCCGGAACATCAACCGAGACGACCTCACCGGAAACACTACCACCATAACATCATCATTAAACAGGAGGAAGCTTTAGGTTCTGGAAGCTGTCATGATCAAAACATAGCCACTGGAACTAAACAAGCAAGCCATCCCCTCAGTCACCCTTCACCTCATTTAGGGACGGTCGATGCCATCCGTAGATGGTGTATCTCACTATTCAGCAAGTGTTTTGCCGCTTGAATTCTTAAGCTCCTAAAGAACGCCAACCATCTAATACTTCATGAAATTTGGCGATCGAACTGAACTTGATGAAACCTAAATTGTTATACCTTACTGGTTATACCTAACTGTAACATGTGATCATATATTCATCACTTGTGTGCTGTATGTCTGTACCTTTAAAACTGGAATATGTAATTCCGAAACAATCAATAGATGCAAAACATCGGCGAGATACTTTCCAGTCTCAATGATGAGCAGTGAGCCATAATCAGAAAACTCGAGCAAGAAAACAGAAAAAGCTTATAAAATGCACCTTCGCCAAGGTCTTTAGCAAGGGACTAGCGCCCCCTCGGGTCCCAGCTCCGGTAACGGGTGGACAGCGCAAGCTGTTCCTCTCAGGGCGTAGCGACCCTGCCTGTACGTGAGCCCCTTCTCCTTGTCCCGCTTGCTCCTTCCCATTACCCATCTTCCCGCATCCTGCCCACTCATCACTCCTGATCCTCGTTTTATCGGGGTCGCCGTGCCCCCTCGCCCTCGTCCCCGGGTTGATCGGATCCTGGTGGCTGAGGGGCGCGTCGTGCGGGTCAGTCACGGCGCGTCCCAACACTCCACTTTGGCCAGGATATCCGGGGGCGCGGGGGGCCCGTGGGGCCCCACACGGGTCTAGCGGCTTGTCGCTCGCGTCGCGGTTGGGTGCTCCTTGCGGGTTCCGCTTGGGGCGCCTGGCCGCGCGCAGCGGCTTAAGGGGTCAAGGGGCGGCGGCGCTGAACCACGGTCAGGACGGGGAGGGGTCTCCCCGGTTACACCTGGCCGTGTGGGAGGCGTCGTCCGCCCCGTATAGCACCGAGGTAGCCCTGGCGGCACCACCACCAACTGGTGAGTGGGCCGTCCCCCAGTTGGGCTCCGAGGTGGGTGGGGAGCCCCGGTGCCGAAATAAAGAACAACCTTGCATGGCATCTACAAACCCAAAAACTCCCGCCCCCCGAGAGGGGGACGGACTGCGATGAATTTAGGGTGCAGCGAGGAGTCGGTTCCACCTGCCCCACGCGTTCTTGTCTTCCGGAGTGATGTGAAGAACCTGGCATCGCTTTCACCGTTTCAGCGCCGAAACGGATGCGACAGGTTGGGAAAAGTCACCCGCTGTGACAAGCTGAGGGACGGCGCGATCGAAGTGGAGTTCGCAAACGGCACCGATGCGACTCGAGCTTTGACTGTAACTGAATTTGTATATGCCGCGAGAACCGAGGGTGCAAAGCGAGACGTGAGCGTGCCGGTCACGGTCACACCGCACCACACCAAAAATTTCTCAAAAGGTATCATAAACTGCTATGACCTTCGTGACGTCAGCGAGGAGGAAATCGTCGAAGAGTTGGGAATTTTCGGGGTCACGGCAGCACGTAGGATCACGACCAGGAGGGGTGATGACCAAATCCCTACAAACAACATTATACTGACATTCAACCGGCCTGATTTACCGTCTGATATCCGCATTGGCTACGCAGTTGTCAAAGTCAGGATCTTCGTTCCGAATCCGATGCGATGTTTTCAATGCCAGCGCTTTGGTCATACAAAACCACACTGCCGCAATCGAGCTGTGTGTGGGAAGTGTGCATCTTCCGAGCATTCGGGAGACCAGTGTACCTCTGTGCAGCCCTGGTGCGTGAACTGTGGCACGGGGCAGGTACCGCACACAACTTTCGATCGAAGTTGTCCAGCCTTCATTAAGGAAAAGGAAATTATATCACTCAAAACTTCAAAGAACATTTCTTTCCGCGAGGCGCGTGAACAGTATGAGGCTAATCACCCCAAGGTATCTTATGCCGAAAAGTCCAAAACCTCTGTACCACAGTCCACCAGCATCAGTCACATGTCAGCGGTCCAACTCATCACGCTCCTGCGATCCTTCGGTTTGTCTGTGGTGCCGGCGGGGCGGGCGACCCCCGCCCAGTCGGATCCTCCTGGTCCTTCAGTTGCGTCCTGCTCTACCAACGCTGTGCCGCCGGACCTTCATGTGTCGGGGTCGCAGGCGGGGGAGGAGGAGGGATGGACGGTGGTCAAGCGCGGCCATGGTCCGCGGGCTCGGCCTTCCTCGCCGTCTGTCACTCCGCTGCCCTCGTCGCCTCCGGCGACGCTGGCGAGTGTGTGTGGACGAGCAGCGGAAACGATGGAACGGCATGAGGCGGACAGGCGCGCCCGCGACGCCAAACGGGCCCGCCTAGCGGAGTTGGAGAGGGCTAAGACGGCCAATCGCTTGTCCGTTGCAAGCAAGGAGCCCACCCCTCGCAGTGGCACACCATCGCCGAGAAGGCCAGTGGAGGCCCCCGCTGACCCCCAGACGCCCGGTAGAGGCCCGCCGATGGGCCCTCCCCCGCCGCCACCCCGGACCGGGTACGCTGGCGTCAAGCGTGCCCCGGCCGGTCCCCCGTCTCCATCTGACGGCGGGAGCCCCAGAACTCGTCCCAGAGTGGGGCACCTCCCTGCAGATTCCAACCGTGGCTCTCAGTCAGAAAAGTCTGCTTCTGCAACTGGCGCAGCCCAGTTCTTTTAGGACGTGCCCGGTTTTAGTATGTGACCTCCAACTGGCTTTTTAACACGCCCCCTTTACAGGCCTTTTTACAGTGGAACTGTAGAGGAATAAGGGCAAATGCCCTCGACCTCCAGGCTGTCGTCAGCGAGCACTGTCCTGCAGCCGTAGCGTTGCAGGAGACCAAGCTTGCTTCTAGTCACCACTGCACGCTGAAGGGATACGCCTGTTTCGCAATGATGTGTTAACCGACGGTATCGCACATGGCGGTGTCCTTCTTGCAGTCCACCACAGCGTGCCAGCCAGGAGGTTTAACCTGCGGTCTACGCTACAGGCTGTAGCCGCACGCCTACATTTTAATCACCGTCACATCACGGTGTGTTCTTTATATCTTCCACCTGGCGTCGTTTTTCCATTGGAAGACATGAGACGTTTAGTGCATGAGTTGCCTTCACCATGTCTTCTTTAGGCGACTTCAACGCCTCATCACACCGCGTGGGGCTGTGATAGCACGAACACCCGCGGAAGGATGTGCGAACATTTTATCCGTGACTCGTCACTGTGTATTTTAAACACAGGGACTCGTACTCATTTTACACTGCCGTCTGGTCAGACTTCCGCGCTTGACCTGAGTCTTTCTAGTCCCGAGCTGGTGGAGAGCCTCGAGTGGTCTGTGGCAGATGATCCAATGGGCAGCGATCACTTCCCAGTGTGGCTTCGATTCCAAATAAGAGGAACGTTGGGTGTAAGACCACGACGTTGGAATTTAAAAAAGGCTGACTGGAGAGAGTTTGAGGCTCGACTGGAGACATTATGTCAGACCGGAGGTGTGAGGGTGGCACCCTCTATTGAGGATTTTACTCACAGACTTCTAGATTGCGCTAGCGATTACATTCCGCGCACTTCTGGATTTCCTCGTCGCACTCCTGTGCCGTGGTGGACGGAGAAGTGTCGTGACGCAATTCGCGCACGCAAACGTGCTTTCCGAGCTTTTGACGCCAGAAGTAGCTTGGAGAATTTAGTAGCCTTTAAGAAAGCCAGGGCTTTCGCCCCGCCGCACGATAAAAGAAGCGAAACGTGAATCCTGGCGTATGTACGTAAGCACGCTCAACCGATTCACACCCAACTTCGCAGGTGTGGGCTCGGATCAAACGTATCTCCGGGCAGTTTTCATCCGTGCCACTTCCTGTGTTACATGTTAACGGCCAGGTGGTGACTCATCCGTTGGATGTGGCTAACGGGATCGCCCGAGCACTCTCCCACCGTAGCGAAGGTGCAAACATGAGCCCACAGTTTTTACGGCAAAGAGCACAATCCGAAAAAACCGTAGTGAACTTTTCTACAAGGCAACCACAGGCGTACAATGAACCCTTCACTTTGGTGGAGTTGGAGTCGGCAATCGGAAGACTTCGTAGTGTATCGGAAGGTCCTGATGACATCCACAATGAGATGCTCCGACATCTGCCTCCGTGTGCACGTCGTGCACTATTGGCGGCCTTCAATAGGGTGTGGTCAAGAGGTGAGTTCCCTCCGGCCTGGCGGGAAGCT